ACAGGACCTTGGAATGGTACCATACTCCCAGGGCTGACATAATCCAACACTGACATCAAGGGATCCAAGCAACACAGACCGTAGGCAAACAAAGTTGGGCCTGCATGGAAATAGCTGTGCAAAAACACCAAAGATCCAACAGCTCCATGGTCCAGCAACGACATCATGAATCCCAAGCAGGCCATTCCATACGTAGACGTGGCAAGGCCAGCACGACCAAAGCTGCGGAGGGAGAAAGCCAGGTCAAAATGTGCGAAGTCCACACCTGACGAAAAGGAGCCCAACCACATCATGCCGTAGGCAGATAGGAACGATTCCATTCGCGAAGAGGCACGCAAAAATAGTGAGCTGCCCATGTGAGCAAGGTCCAGAACTGGCGGTGAGAAAGCCGGCTGAGTCATGCCGTAAGCAAACGATGGCGATCCTGAACAAGCAAACCCTTGAACCAACAGAGATGAAGCAAAACTAACAAGGTCAAGTGCCAGTGAGGAAGATCCCAAGCAAGTCAAGCCAAAGACAAAGAGAGGTGAGCCCAGCCGGACGAAACCCCTCACAGGCATCAAAAATCCTACCTGGCAGTGGTCCAAGATCGACAAGAAAAATTCGAGACATGACATGCCACTCAGCAGCAAGGCCAGCCCGGTGCAAACAAAGCCTCGCAAAAATGGCGACAAGTCGATGGATACGAAATCCAAGGTGGACAACACAAAGCCTGAGCACGCGACTCCAAAGACCAACAAGGGAAAGTCCATTCGCATGAATCCTCGCATCGGCAAGGAGGAGCCAGGCTGCACAAAATCCAAGGCTAGTGAAGGGAGCTCAAGCCGAGCAAGTCCAAAGATGAAGAGCAACAGACCGATGCGGCAGCATGCTCTCAACAACAGCAAGAAGCCGAGTGTGGCAAAATCCAGTGCCAACAAGATCAAACCAAGGCACGACGCGCCATACATCAAGGGTGCCAATCCAAGTCACATGAGGCTCCGCGGTGGCATTGAGAGACCCAAAGTCAAGAAATCCAGCATCGACAGCAAAAAACCACAGCATGAGATGCCATAAACAAATAACAAGGAACCTGAACGTGCAAAGCTCGTGACCGAGAGACCACTGCCCAGCTCCACGTAGTCGTAAGCCAACGTGGCAGGGCCAAGGCGTGCTAGGCCAAACAAGAGCATCAATGAGTCTGGACGAATGTGGGAGCGCAACGATGACGAAGGGCCCACAGAGACAAAATCCAAAGCGGGCGACGAGAAGTCGAGACTGGCCAAGCCGAAAGTTGACATTGCGAAGCCTGGCTAAGCAAAGCCTTGGAGTGACAACAGAAAGTCAATCTGCAAACAGTCCAAGATTGACAGCGAGTCCTCAAGACAGCTCATTCCATAAGCAGAAAGGGCAGGGCCCGAGCGTGCAAAGCTACGTGCCAACGAGAAAGAACCCGGAAGAAACAAATCTGAGGCAGACAGGAACTCTCCAAGTCGAGTCATGCCATACATGGACATCAAATCGCCCATGTGAACAAACCCACGCAAGGACATAGTCAAGCCCATCTGTGTCATCTCCAGAATGGACAGGGGAAATCCCAAGCGCGCACATCCGAAGGCGGATGGTGAGGGTCCAAGCCGAACAAATCCATGGAGTAACATGATGAAGCCAAGATGTACAAAGTCCAGCACCAACATGAAAGACCCTGAACGACTAAGTCCGTAGACGGACAGCGCCAAGCCAAGACGGCCGTGCGTTCTCAGTGACAGTGACGAACCCAAGTGGATGAAGTCAAGCACCGAAGAGACCGATTCTAATCGAACGCTGCCGTAAGTTGACATAATGAAACCTGGACGTGCAAAACTACGAGGCAACAATGCACTGCCAGGATGCGCATGATCCAGCACAAACAGAGAAAAACCTGGCCTACTCATGCCATAGCACGACATCATGAGGTCCAAACACACATGGCTTCGCAGAGAGGTCGGGAAACCCGGATGAACAAAGTCCAAAACCGACAAGGAGACTTCAAGGCACGCCATACCATAGGTCGAAGGCACACTCCCAAGCCGCACAGAGCTACGAAGTGACACGGCAGAACCGCAACTGGTGAATTCCAAGGCCGACATCACTGAGCCCAGGCGGCTCATGCCATAGACGGACATCACTGAGCCTGATCAGATAAACGTCCGCAGCAACAGAAATGACCCAAAGTCTACAAAGTCGAGAATCAATGGAGAACTCTCAAGGCGGGTGATGCCATAGGTAGACACCAAGAAGTCAGATCAAGATAAACTACGCACAAACGGAGAAAATCCAAAGTGGGTGAAATCCAATGCGAACAGCATGGAGTCCAAACCTCAGTGAGAAGAATCAAGTTGAGGCTCACCGTTCCAGAAGTCTGAACTCAAACCTGTTCAACTTGAGAATTAGTTTGATAGAATTTATCCAGGATGTTGTTATCCTGATTCAAGACTGCCACTTCAAGACTATAGTCAAAAATATACCCACATTGAAACTACATACCCTCTGGTAAACTAACAGAACTATGGAAAATCATCATTTTTAATGGGAAAACTCACTATAAATGGCCATTTTCAATAGCTATGTTAAATTACCAGAGGGTAATCAAAGTGGTTTGTTCAAAAATTACATCGAAATCTTCAAGATCTCAGGATCTTGGCTGTCGCACGGGCTTGCTCGAAGAGCGACAGCGACGAGCCGGGGCGTGCGAAGCACGCCACGGACAACGAGCTTCCCAAAAGGGTGAAGTCCTGGCGTAATTTTTCGACCAAAACTTCCCAAACTAAAAACCATCTGCTGTTGGAAAAAGGCTGTACCCTCTGGTAAACTAACATAGCTATTGAAAATTGCCATTTATAGTGAGTTTTCCCATTAAAAATGGTGATTTTCCATAGCTATGTTAAATTACCAGAGGGTATCCTTGGATTTCAAACTTTCTTATAATGAACATTAATGAACCAAAAATGGATCATCAGCTGTTTATAGTTAGCTGCTAGCTGCAGTATGCCCTGTTGATATGACCACTCTTGACATGTTTTGACCCATCCGACAATGTCCGACATCAATATGGGCTGTGGCCATTCTGATTCCGTGGTCTCCTTGACGGACGACGCGCTACCAGTTCAAGCCACGCCAAATACAGGCATGGTGAAGCCTGCAAGGTGGTGCCAAGTCAAAAAAAAAACATGCGACAAATGGTGGTTCCAAACGTTCCAAAGGTGACTTCGTGAGCAAACTGACACAAGCGCCGTCTAGCGCCTGAACAGTCTCTGAATCGAACATGGCATTTCTTGTCATTAGCCGCTAGCCTGTGTCTTAGTGACTTAGTGCAACTGGTTTTACAGGCTTTTTACGCTTCTGAAATCAGTTCAACGCTTCTGCCAATTGCCATGTTTTGCCATGGTTTTCCCATCTGCCAAGGCCAGTTTTCCCCATGCCCCATGCCTAGTCGAGTGAAGGAGGCGACGCTCAAAGAGCTGCCGAAATTGCCGTGGTTTTGGACCGAGAAGACGGCGCCTCAGCGGGCTGACTGAAGCCACGGCATCTTTTTCGGAGATTGAAACAGTATTGAGATGGCATGTCAATATAATATATTGTATATTATAATATATTATGATATGCCATCTCAAATAATATAGATTTATGGCATATCATAATATATTATAATATGTTTATATATGTTTATATAATATTATGACATCAATATATATATATGAAGAATATGTAACATTGACATCATGGAAATAACAGAATTGGAATGACGTGAATCTCAGTTCTTGGCCCAAGAAGACGGCGTCGCCCTGGATGTTGATCGAACTACCGAGTTGCACCTGTGGCGCATTGTGGTTTGATCGTGTTCTTTACCTTGGCGTCTCATGGCTTTCCTCTGCATTTCTTGGTGTGTTTTTTCTTATTGGTGTCTATGACATTCTATGACTGTCTATGTATCATACGAATCATACGTATCATATATATCATGAATTATCATGAGATCAAAATATGAATTCTGCAATTTCAAGATGGTTCTACTCTTCACAAGTCACTTGAGGCTGCCCCAAACCCCCATCTCTGCTACCGGACATGATCTCTGATGGAGACTGTGGATGCAAAGTTGGTGTGACCTCATAAGGCTGGGAACGCGGGAACGCTGGAAGTGGCTGGGAACACGCTGGAAGTGACTGGAAGCTGGACCTCAAGGCCCCGGGCCAAAAACAGAGAGGACGCTGCCGAGGTTGACTTGGTTGTACCTCAACCGACAAGTCGGTTAAATGGCTGCGACAATTGGAGAAAACTCGCCAGCGAAATACCAACCGCCTGGCGGAATGCTGCGTGGATACCATGATACCAACCCTCCAAAGTCACTACCTGAACCATCCTGAACTGCTCTGAACTGCTCAAAGCATGTCTGGATTTCAACATATTTCAACGCCATTCAAATCTTCAAAAGAAACCTATGTCTTCAACGTGCACATCTTTTTTGGTCAGAAGGGATTCCACTGATCCCACTGATCCCACTGATCCGAGGTCCATCGAGGTCCCACACACTGAGAGCGTTCCACCCAAGCTCGTGGCCGAAAAGATGGATACTCTGCCTCCCATGTTGACCTCAAATCACTAAGTCATCGAATTACACCATGGAATTACACATCGAATTACTTGGTCACCATATTCACCATATTCACCATGATCTGCAGGGAATCGACATGGATCAACCTCTATCATTCTGAAAACTCTTGAAAACATTGTTTGCCCGATGCCGCGATGCCATGCGATGCCGAATGCTGCTCATCAAAACATGCCGCATCGCATCCGCCGATGCATCTGAAGCCGACTCATAGCCTCGCCAAACCTCTTCCCCATCAGTCCATCGGCCAGGCATCCCCGCCGTGTCAAAGACGGACAGCGACCCCCCTAATTTCACCTGGCAGGATCTCTTGCGACCGTTCCGACCGATTCCGACGGATTCCTACGCCTATTTAACCTATTTCTTTCGAGGTTCAAGAAATAGGTTCAACCATGTTCAACCATGGTGAATCATTCACCTGACTTGCAATCCGTGCCTCTCTCAGCACTGAGAGGGTGGTGTTGAAAAAGGTCTCGTCATCTGGTGTGAACCTAGTGCAAGGCGAAGCCATACAGACCATCCAAAGTTTTCATCCAAAATTCCCATCCAATCTGCATCCTGTTTGTTCCAGGCATCCGCACGCGACTTTGCCACCCGAAGGTGTCTGGAACACCAAGGCATTGCCGCCATAGAGGTCCTGGCCCAACACTTGGCAAAAAAACTTGAACATAGGTGAATGATGGTGAATGGGAATTAAAAATATCAAAATATATAGTATAAAAAGATGTTAATTGACAATTAATATAATTAATTGATGTCAAATGTCAAATCATATCAAAATATATCATATCATGATATCATGATATACTTGATCGTAAAAAACAAAAATGTTCATGAACTATGATCAAATCTACTCTCATCAACTGGATTCAGGCCACTTGCCATGATGGAACTTTGGCCTGAACGATGATGTCCCATAGTCTCACACCTGACCTCATAGCAACTGCTGCTTGGAGGGTATGATAGGTATGATAGGTATGATAGGGTTGAAGGAGTTCATGACTGGATTGTTGTTTGGACTGTTGCAAACAGCTTGGCAAGATCATATTTGATTACGTCTAGACCCAGTGCATGTGCAATATGATCTCAATATGATCTGAGTTGACATCATATTGATACCATATGACGAAAATGTTCTTTGTTTTTTGCCAAAACAGGATTGGATAGGTGCAAATGAAAGGTATCAAAAGGTCCTGTACAATGGTCACTGGGAGCACTGGGAGCCTGGCGACCTCAGTGTTACTCTCGGGGCCTGGCACCGAATGAAAACACGGCGGAGAAGCGGCCGTGCCGTGCCGTGCCGTGCCTTGCCTGGTTGTAGGAAGGGTCCAAGTCCAGGGGACCCAGAAGGGTTATGTCTCCTCGAAATCAACAGAAATCGACAGAAATCGCAGAAATCAACAAATGGCAGAAAATCGCAGAAAATCATAAATATGTCATAAATTGAATCAGAAATCAACAAAAGATCAACAAATCTGCCACAAGCCCTGCCTTCTTTGGACACGAGCACCCATGGGGCCGTAGGTGGCACGAGGGTGCTTATAGCCTCATCAGATATCATCAGATTGCGAAAGTGAAAACCGATGAAAATCGTCAAGATGAAAGCGTTGGAATTCAAACATCTCGTTTCTAATCCAAAGACGATGCTGAAGTCAATATCTTCTCATTTCTTCAAACAAACATCGAAGTCATTGAAATTATTCAAATCACTGGATCTTTGGAATCTTTGGCAGTTGGCTTCGCTGTTTCTTCCATCAGCATCTGGGCTTCCGCACAAGGAGCCAGCTCCACAGGCGCATCGATCATCTGCCTCAGTCATGCATGCCATCCCTTTGCTCCACAGGATATCTACTGCAGTTTACAAAAACTTGGCAGAAGCATAAATGGCATAAAAGATAGAAGACAAATAGCATGTGAATGATGATAAGAATGGGAAGCATGTCATTCTGGTCACTTTTCAAACATCTCTGGTTTTTCACAAAGAAGAGATGACCTCGTCGAAGAGGACTGGGCTCCCCGTGCTGCCCGCGGCGGCGTCCCCACCCGCACCCCCTCCCAGCGGGGCTCGTCTAACCCCGTTCTGGAGCCACGGTGAATTCACGCAGTGTTCACGAAGTGTTCAGTAGATTCCATGCAGATTCCATGCAGATTCCATGAAACTGCAACATCCTGGATTCACAGATGATCGACATGGAATTTCATCGACATCACTGGCCAAAATGCATTGAACGGCATTGTTCTTGTTGCTTGTGTTCTCAACAAAATATTGTGTCTTTCCTAAGCCGCACTCTGTCAGCATCAACATGCGAAGCAAGTCCAAGCGACTCTCAGCATTGAATCTAGACTGAATGTCTTTGTGTGTGTGTGGGTGACTGCGTCAAGATTCTCCAAACAAGGAGTGCTTCATTTTCCACCCAGCTTCCAATCTATGCTTCCGTCGTTGACGACTCACAGCACCTTGAGCAAACCCCGGTCAGTGCTGTCGCATGCTGTCGCTGAGTTCGGCCTCAACCTCTTGCGGCCAACTGTTCCCTCAGCACTCTGCAAGCCTCAGAGAAAGCCATCAAAAATCCATCATCATGATGACAATTGCCCGAAAAACCCAGAGGCAAGGAGGACCCTCAAAGATCTTCTGCGAAAATTCCCTGACGAAGGAAACTAAGGAAACCATTGGGGAACCTCCGCTGAATCTTACAACGAACATCGCCTCACAGTGCTTCACAGCGTTTCGGTCATGGCACCGAGTTTATCCCACAATAATGGGCTTCAGCTCGTTGCTGGCCTATGCGACATGGTGCAATGGTGACATGGTGACAGGGGAAGTTGCTTTGGTGTCATTGGTGCAGCAAAAGGAATAACGCAGAAAGTTCATGGAAACCTGGAGATATGGACAGCATCACTCATCACTGCATATCTTCACAACGTCCTCACAACGTCTTCACAACATTTCACTACGTTCTATGATCTTCGATGATCTTCAATGATCTTTGCATATGTTGCGATTGCCTCCTGCTCCTTCTCCATCTCTTCAGTGTGCTGCCGCTGTTTCCTTCACAAAAATTGAAAGTCAACAAGCTTCACAACATCGTGCTCAGCGTCGTCACAGGTGATCACCGCAAGTTGACTAATCAAATAACGGCGCACCATGGTGAAATATGGTGAATGTGGTGAAATCAAGACAAGGATGTGCCATGATGAGCACCTGTGCAACTCCAATTGTGCTTGGTTTTGACAGATGTAGCCGCACACCTTCCAAGACACAGAGCAGGTTGGGTCAGGAGTGGGGACAGGATGTTAAGTTGAGATGTCAGGGGGCTCGCGTGGCGATTGACAAAATAGATCAAAATAGCTTACAACTGCCAAAAAGCCAAATGTACTAAATTCATATATAAAACATTACAAAACTATAAAATCATCAAAAATCTGAAATCCTAGGGCTTATTTATTTGACCTCAACTACCTCAACACGTCGCCGCAGCGACTCAGGAGGTCGTACAAAAAACAACACGCACCGCCTTGCAGGTCCAGGGAGACTTCATCCTCCGTGGCCATGGATTCACGAGGTTAAACGGTGAGCGCTTTCAGAAAGGTTTCACCGTGGTGAAATATGGTGAAATCAAATACCCTCTGGTTATGTCAAAATAGCTATTGAAAATGGCCATAGAAATAGTGGATGTTCCCATTGAAAATGCTGATTTTCCATAGTTATGTTAGTTTACCAGAGGGTAAGCCAAAGGTTCACCAAAGGTTCACAGGATCTCCCCTGCTGATGCAATGAAGGGCACCCTGTGCTGATGCAAAGCCACTCCTATGCCAGGGGACGTCCACAGAGCTGTCCAACAAGTAGACGAGTTCCAGATCTGCCTGAAGCGTTGCAGTGAGAGCTCACTGGGCTCCACGCAATAAAGATTCAACTTGATTCCCATATATTCCCATCAAAGTCAGAAAGTCAAGAAAGTCACCATGACACTATATGAAATCTATATGAAACTCATGAAACATCGCCTTTTTTCTCACATGTTCTCACTCTGCAGATGCATCGGATCCGCTGTTAAGGGTCCCCTGAAACGAATACTTCACCGGCACCAAGATGTCTTTGCTCAACTCGGAGGTTTCGGTGATGCTTAAGGTGTCCTCAGGTTCCACCGGCACCGGAAAGGGCGACATCAGCGACAGAAGTGTTGGCCAATGGCTCTTCTGATGTTCACCATTGGGACCCCGCGATTCCACCAGAATTTTCGCCTCTGGATCCAAGATGAGTCTGGGCCAAATGGCCATCCCAGAGAAGCTCTTGGTGGTTTGGATGGCCAGGGGCTTGGCATCTTCAGATTTCACTTCCTCCTTGGTAGTTAGAGCCTCATAGTAGGCATCATAATTGGAACGCAAACGATCTCTGGAGATTTTGAAGCTCAGGGATTTAGATTGTTTTCCTTCTGGCAATGGCTTTGCAAAGTTAATTTCCTCCAGTACTTGCGGATCTGAGATCAGCTCCAATGTACGATCTCGGGGGTTTAACGTCAATGGCTGTCCCTGCAGTTTCTCAAACTTCGGGGGAGCCAGCACTGGATGGAGCGCATAGCTCACTGGGGCAGTCCAGGTTTGAATCACCGAAGGGATGTAGTTCTGAGGATTGTTGGCATCTTTCATATGCCTCTTCTGTGCATCCTGCATCGTTGCTACGATGTTCTCCTGAGTGGCGAAGGCACCAACCACCTCCGCACAAACCAAATCCACTTTCTCCGGCAATGTCACAGCTGTTGAGAAGCCTTCAATGACCTCAATGACCCCTTCCGGGACATCCTCTTGTTCTGCAATGGTGTTTCTCGCTCGTTCAGCAGCTTCTGGATTCCCTTCCACTGCATAAACCTTCTTGGCACCAGCCCTTGCGGCCACCAGTGCGAACAGTGCGAAGGGTCCAGTGCCGATGTCCAGCACGGTGAGACCTGGACGGCTCTTGACCCGTTCCTGGATGGCCTGGATGAACTGCGGAGTACGTCGGGTGTCGTCCCGCTCCGCATCGTACTGATCCTCGTAGAAACGGAGGAACTGGACGCCGTCCTGGACTCGAAATCTCGAAATCTCGAAATCTCCACGTCCAACCCGTGGACTCCCAGACTCCAAACCCAAGACCAAACCCAAGAGACAAAATGGGATCAATATGGATCAACTATGATCAACTCATCAAAGACCATATGTGTTTCAAAAAAAAAACGCATCAAACCTGCATATCCTGATATATTTCCCAAACCTAAAACCACGTCTCTGATTCCAGATTCGGGAACATCTCGGAACATTTGGAACTGATTATAGATATCTACAACTTGGGAAAATTGATGAAATTTGGATACACAAATCCCAGTCGTTTGTCAAGTCCTTCGCCGGCCAACTGGACTTCAGTTCTTCTGCCCCAGCCAACGGTGCCGTGGCGACCGTGGCGACCACACCTCCGCCCAGCACCTTCCGTCGCGATGCTGGGCCCGGGGTGTCGGGGGATAGCCAGGCCGTGCAGTGGAAGGCCAGGAGCAGAAGTGGAGCTGCCAGGCGCCGGGCCATGGCGCGAAGCGAAAAATGACGGAAAATCAGGGAGGAAATATAGGAAATCGGATTGAAAACTACCAGATTTGAAAAAAATGATTGTTCTTTTTTGAGATAGTTGATATTCATTGGTTTCACCGCGGAAGAATCCAAGGTTTTGTAAATTCCGATTTGCTGGACTTCCATGGCGCATGCAGAACCTGCTTGTGGGTTCATGAGCTCGGTACATTGGTCCGTGATGACGCGATCTGTCTGGTGCTTTTGCGGGTTTGGAGTGTTTTGAGTCTTTTGCATCGAGTGTATGTCAAGTGTTACCATTTGAACATCGAGACATGAGCCATGGTCAATACTCACTATATGGTTTTTCTGGTCATCCCATCCATAATAAGGATCCTTATAATGGTTATTATAAATCCCTATTAACCATGAGTATTGACCAAGCTATGCTGATTTCAGCCAGAACTCCAGCAGATTCTGGCAGATTCTGAAGACCAAAACCTCTACGATTTTTCAGTCACATCAGTCACCAAGGTGCCTTGGGTATGGCGTTGATCCTCTTCACCATCATCCCAGAAAACTGTTTGTATCATTGGATTGGTTTAAGGGAAAATCTACAGGAAACCATGGTTTTTACCTTTTAACAATATGGGGGTTTTCCTGTAAATTTTCCCTTAAACCAACCCAGTGATTGTAGATGTTTGTAGCGTAGCACAGGGCACCTCGTGTGATTTGGAGGTATAGGCGACATCCTGGTCGCAAGCGCTGCAAGCCTCGGAGGGATCCTCGGAGGGATCCATACTGCATCGATGGATCATCTCTACTAATCTTACTATTGGGTAATGTTGGATAATGTTGGATAATGTTGGGTAATGTTGGGTAATGTTGGGTAATGTTGGATAATGTTGGATAATGTTGGGTAATGTTGGATAATGTTGGGTAATGTTGGGTAATGTTGGATAATGTTGGATAATGTTGGATAATGTTGGGTAATGTTGGGTAATGTTGGATAATGTTGGATAATGTTGGATAATGTTGGGTAATGTTGGGTAATGTTGGGTAATGTTGGATAATGTTGGATAATGTTGGATAATGTTGGGTAATGTTGGGTAATGTTGGATAATGTTGGATAATGTTGGATAATGTTGGGTAATGTTGGGTAATGTTGGATAATGTTGGATAATGTTGGATAATGCTGGATAATGTTGGATAATGTTGGATAATGTTGGGTAATGTTGGGTAATGTTGGATAATGTTGGATAATGTGATATAATGTTGGATAATGTGATATAATGTTGGGTAATGTTGGGTAATGTTGGATAATGTTGGATAATGTTGGGTAATGTTGGGTAATGTTGGATAATGTTGGAAAATGTTGGATAATGTTGGGTAATGTTGGGGATAATGTTGGATAATGTTGGCTAAGTGGTAATGTTGGAAAGTTGGATAATGTTGAGGTAAATGTTGGGTAATGTTGGATAATGTTGGATAATGTAATGTTGGGTTAATGTTGGGTACTGTTGGCAATGTTGGATATGTTGGGGTAATGTTGGATAATGTTGGATAATGTTGGATAATGTTGGATAATGTTGGAAATGTTGGATAATGTTGGATAATGTTGGGTAATGTTGGATAATGTTGGGTTAATGTTGGGTAATGTTGGATAATGTTGGGTAATGTTGGGTTGGATAATGTTGGATAATGTTGGATAATGTTGGATAATGTTGGATAATGTTGGATAATGTTGGGTAATGTTGGATAATGTTGGGTAATGTTGGATAATGTTGGATAATGTTGGATAATGTTGGGTAATGTTGGGTAATGTTGGATAATGTTGGATAATGTTGGATAATGTTGGGTAATGTTGGGTAATGTTGGGTAATGTTGGATAATGTTGGATAATGTTGGATAATGTTGGGTAATGTTGGGTAATGTTGGATAATGTTGGATAATGTTGGATAATGTTGGGTAATGTTGGGTAATGTTGGATAATGTTGGATAATGTTGGATAATGTTGGGTAATGTTGGGTAATGTTGGATAATGTTGGATAATGTTGGATAATGTTGGGTAATGTTGGGTAATGTTGGATAATGTTGGATAATGTTGGATAATGTTGGGTAATGTTGGGTAATGTTGGATAATGTTGGATAATGTTGGGTAATGTTGGGTAATGTTGGATAATGTTGGATAATGTTGGATAATGTTGGGTAATGTTGGGTAATGTTGGATAATGTTGGATAATGTTGGATAATGTTGGGTAATGTTGGGTAATGTTGGATAATGTTGGATAATGTTGGATAATGTTGGGTAATGTTGGGTAATGTTGGATAATGTTGGATAATGTTGGGTAATGTTGGGTAATGTTGGATAATGTTGGATAATGTTGGATAATGTTGGATAATGTTGGGTAATGTTGGGTAATGTTGGATAATGTTGGATAATGTTGGGTAATGTTGGGTAATGTTGGATAATGTTGGATAATGTTGGATAATGTTGGGTAATGTTGGGTAATGTTGGATAATGTTGGATAATGTTGGATAATGTTGGGTAATGTTGGGTAATGTTGGGTAATGTTGGATAATGTTGGATAATGTTGGATAATGTTGGATAATGTTGGGTAATGTTGGGTAATGTTGGATAATGTTGGATAATGTTGGATAATGTTGGATAATGTTGGATAATGTTGGATAATGTTGGATAATGTTGGATAATGTTGGATAATGTTGGATAATGTTGGATAATGTTGGGTAATGTTGGATAATGTTGGATAATGTTGGATAATGTTGGATAATGTTGGGTAATGTTGGATAATGTTGGATAATGTTGGATAATGTTGGATAATGTTGGATAATGTTGGATAATGTTGGATAATGTTGGATAATGTTGGGTAATGTTGGATAATGTTGGATAATGTTGGATAATGTTGGGTAATGTTGGATAATGTTGGATAATGTTGGATAATGTTGGATAATGTTGGATAATGTTGGATAATGTTGGATAATGTTGGGTAATGTTGGATAATGTTGGATAATGTTGGATAATGTTGGATAATGTTGGGTAATGTTGGATAATGTTGGATAATGTTGGATAATGTTGGATAATGTTGGATAATGTTGGATAATGTTGGATAATGTTGGATAATGTTGGATAATGTTGGATAATGTTGGATAATGTTGGATAATGTTGGATAATGTTGGATAATGTTGGGTAATGTTGGATAATGTTGGGTAATGTTGGGTAATGTTGGATAATGTTGGATAATGTTGGATAATGTTGGATAATGTTGGATAATGTTGGATAATGTTGGGTAATGTTGGATAATGTTGGATAATGTTGGATAATGTTGGATAATGTTGGATAATGTTGGATAATGTTGGATAATGTTGGATAATGTTGGATAATGTTGGATAATGTTGGATAATGTTGGATAATGTTGGATAATGTTGGATAATGTTGGGTAATGTTGGATAATGTTGGATAATGTTGGATAATGTTGGATAATGTTGGATAATGTTGGATAATGTTGGATAATGTTGGATAATGTTGGGTAATGTTGGATAATGTTGGATAATGTTGGATAATGTTGGATAATGTTGGATAATGTTGGGTAATGTTGGATAATGTTGGGTAATGTTGGGTAATGTTGGATAATGTTGGATAATGTTGGATAATGTTGGATAATGTTGGATAATGTTGGGTAATGTTGGATAATGTTGGGTAATGTTGGATAATGTTGGATAATGTTGGATAATGTTGGGTAATGTTGGATAATGCTGGATAATGTTGGATAATGTTGGATAATGTTGGATAATATGGGCAATGTTGGATCATGTTGGGTAATGTTTGGATAATGTTGGATAATGTGGGATTAAGGTTGGATAATGTGGTAAGGTTGGATAATTTTTGGGTAATGTGGGATAATGTTGGGTAATGTTGGATACTGTGGAATGATGTTGGGTAATGTGGATATGTTGGATTATAATGTTGGATACGTTGGATAATGTGGAAATGTTGGATAAGGTGGATAATGTTGGATAATGCGGATAATGGGGATAAGTTGGTAATGTGGGATAATGTGGGTAATGTGGATAATGTGGGTTACTGTTGGATCCTGTTGGGTAATGTTGGGAAATGTTGGATAAGCTGGCTAATGTGGATAAAGTTGTTGGGTAATGTTGGATAATGTTGGCTATAATGTTGGATAATGTTGGGTAATGTTGGATAATGTTGGGTAATGTGGGAAATTGTTGGGTGGTAATGTTGGATAATGTTGGATAATGTTGGATAATGTTGGGTAATGTTGGATAATGTTGGGTAATGTTGGGTAATGTTGGATAATGTTGGATAATGTTGGATAATGTTGGATAATGTTGGATAATGTTGGATAATGTTGGGTAATGTTGGATAATGTTGGATAATGTTGGATAATGTTGGATAATGTTGGATAATGTTGGATAATGTTGGATAATGTTGGATAATGTTGGATAATGTTGGATAATGTTGGATAATGTTGGATAATGTTGGATAATGTTGGATAATGTTGGGTAATGTTGGATAATGTTGGATAATGTTGGATAATGTTGGATAATGTTGGATAATGTTGGATAATGTTGGATAATGTTGGATAATGTTGGGTAATGTTGGATAATGTTGGATAATGTTGGATAATGTTGGATAATGTTGGATAATGTTGGGTAATGTTGGATAATGTTGGGTAATGTTGGGTAATGTTGGATAATGTTGGATAATGTTGGATAATGTTGGATAATGTTGGATAATGTTGGGTAATGTTGGATAATGTTGGGTAATGTTGGATAATGTTGGATAATGTTGGATAATGTTGGGTAATGTTGGATAATGCTGGATAATGTTGGATAATGTTGGATAATGTTGTGTCGCTGTGAGGTCATTTGAGCACAACATGCTTTCAACCAGGTTCCTAAGGAACGCACAAATTCGAGAAGTGTAACACTTCAGGCGCGACCGTTTGCAGCTTGGGCCCTAGCTTGTGCCGAAAATAGACGGGTATAGATTTGTGAATTCCCCATGGTCATCCTTTGTCAGTAGAATTGGTGCCGCGGAGCACTGACGGTCGGGGCAATGGAGTCAGGAGGTGGTCAAGACCGGTGGCAATGGGTGCCAATCTGGGATGGACGCCCGGAATCCTTTCAGCATTTTATCTATGAGGTGAAGTGGACATTAACATCATCCAGGGCTGAAGATAAAGCCTTGTTAGCAGCGAAGATCATTAGGAAAGCTTTGCAGTCAGGTCAACCCACACTTGTGCAACTGATGTACAAATTGGACCCTGAAGACTTCAGGTCAGAATCAGATGTTCAGAAGCTCATCACCTTTTTAGAGCAGAGCCCTTTGAATCGCCAAGCACTGCCTGACGCAGGGGCAAAGATTGGTGGGTACTATCGTAGGCTGCAGAAACGCAGCAGTGAAACAGTCCCGGCATTCCTTATCCGTGAGGATAAGGTGCATGATGAGATGATTCGTGCCCTCCAGCGTCTTCTGAGGCAGAAAGAGCTGAGCTTTGACGGCTATGAGGTCACATTGGACGAACTCAAGGACTTCTGCGGGTTTAAGCCAGGTGCCTCGTTATGGTATGGCGCAGATGATGAGCCAGCTTCTCCGGCGGATGACGCCGAGGAGGGTTCGCGTGGAACTAGGTCAAGTAGGACAGCAGCCCCTACGGCTGCAGGACGTCCTCTCACTGACCGTGGATCTCAGCCCAGATCACCTACTTCCAGCAGTACCACTAGGGGCACCCCATCTAAAGGAAAGGACCTGATAGATCGTCTCATGAGTAAAGGACTTCTCCCACTTGCCGCCCTTGACGTGATCCGAGGATGGCTGCTGTTGGAGATGGCGGTCGCCACCGAGGACGACCGGCGCTTGATTAGGGCGGCAACTCAAGGAAAACTTGGATATTATGATGTTCGTAGTGCTCTCCTCTCCATGTTTGAAGAGCGTGCGGGGAAGGGAGCATCCTCATCATCTATGTCAAGTAAAGGTCAAGGTAAACATGGGCATAGTCGGGTCTATTTCCAAGATGAGCTCTATGGCTGGGAGGATGAGTATGACGGTAACTATGAGTATGACCAGTACCAGTATTCTTCCTATGTTCCTACAGATGATGATTGGGGTTCCCCGGAAAGTTGGAATGAATCAGCATGGTGGCATGATGATACCCCATATCCTCAAGAGACATCATGGGATTCCTCTGAAACCAATCCTATGGATACATCTGATGATGCCTTCCAGGCAATCCAAGAAGAAGCACAAGAAGCCGAGCGCAGCCACGCGGAGTTGCAGGCCTTGGTGGCTGACTCTGAAAGGAGCCTGGCAGAGGCTCGCCGCGCTGTGGCCGCGGCAGCAAAGGATCGTGGCTGGAACCAGGGTCCACAGCAGAGACAGTCCAAACCTACATCAGCATACATGTACAAGGGGAAAGGCAAGCACATGCCGAAAGGAAAGGCACATTATTTTGAGAATCATGGAGGTAAGAAAGGCAAGTACAAGGGCAAATCATATTCCAAGGACGGCAAAGGCTTTGGTAAGTACGGCAAAGGCAAGGAAGTTCAGGCTATGATGGACAGTGGATACCACATTCTGACACTTGACTCTGAGGATGTCTACAACGTCGACTCCTCCGAGGGCCTCTTGGCTTCTGAGAGTGTGGTGGACACTGGCGCCACTGCTACTGCTGGGGGCAGATGGGCTGTGCAGCAGCTTTGCCAGGCCATTATGAGTGCACGACCAGGTGCAGTGGCCGATATATATACTGGAGTACATGATAGACCTTGGTTTAAGTATGGTAACGGTAGTTGGGGTAGAGCCTTATTCCGACTTACTATTACATATGGCGATTGCAGGATCTCTATGTATTCTCTTCCTTCTCCCGGAGTGCCAGTCCTCACCGGTATGCGCGAATTGATCCAATTGCAGGCAATCCTTGGTTGTGTTGCAGGTAAGAGCTTGATCAACGGAAGAACCACCACTCTGAGAATGTCTAGCAAGAAACACCTCATCATGGACTATTTGAAGGATGTGTTCCCTGAGAACCCCAATGCTGAGCACCCAAAGAATCAACATGACACCACCGGCAGCCGAACCGCCAGGTCAACCGGCAATCGCAACTTCCGAATCCACGGAAGCTTAGATGACCACGAGCCTGGAGCCCAATACGATCAGCACTTTGCTGAAGTACATCATTTGTGGCCTGTTTTTGCATTCACTGGTGAACAGATGACACGCCATGAGAGCATTTCTGCATCAGTACCACATCGTGATCTTTCTTGCACATCTTTTATGAATTTGGCAGATGCAGCAACACATTTGAGTATCTCTCAAGGAGATCTTAGTTTTTTGCTGTCGGCCCAAGAGCAAGAAGGCATTTCGCGTGAGCCACAAATAGAAGGCAGTGTTCAATTTGGAGCACACCATGTCTCAGGAGGAGGAATGGAAGAAGGAAATGAAGAAGTTAGTAAAGGAGGCGGTGAGCGAAGAGTTGAAAAGTTCTCAGCCGTCCACCGGCTATCCCAAAAATCCCAAGAAAAAGACATCGTTCGACCAGACCAGAGCCATCGGACCCAACCCGATGGATCCCAGGAGCAACGATCAGACTTGGCCATGTTTCGGCCAGCATCAACCATCCCGATTCAACAACAATCGGTATGCGCAGTGGCAGGAATGCCAGGCGTGTGGTCTTCGTTTGATGTACGTCCCAGAGATCAATGCCAAAGGGCAATCAGCCCACATGGACCTGCCGCAGAATGTTCAGGAGGCGCTCCATCGCCTCAGGGGAGATGGCTGGGACCCAAAGGAGCTGACTACGAAAGTGGTGAAATCAGCAATCCGAATCGTGGCCGAAGAGAAGAGTTTGAAGAAGGAGAAGGGCACCTCAAGTGCCAAGCCCAGCCAGGAGACAGCCTCGAAGGCCAAGCAGAAGACGACCCCGGAGCAGAAAGCCGAGGGCCAGGAACAGGAGAAGAAGAAGGTCGAAAGTGTTCCGTCCGACACGGAGGACGAATTCTCGAATGTGGGAGAGTGAACATGGTAGCCTCAGAAGAGGCGAATGGAGGCTCACAACCAGTGAGCCCACGACAACACCACGATGAGGGCTGGGATGCTTGTCTTCGCTTGCTGGAACCTCACGAGAAGAAGATGCTACAGAAAGCGTCTGATGAATTCAATCTGGGAGCCATGCTGAGCTCTCTGCAGGACTGTGTGCAGCCACACCTTGTTTGGGAAATCTGCTGTAGGCAAGATTCCACTCTCACTCAAGCCTGCCAAAAGGTAGGGATCCAAGCTGAACGCAAAACTTTGGAGAACGGCTATGACATTTTGTCGCCGTCCACAGCAAACAAGCTGAAGCATGAGTTTGATCGCAACCGACCCCATCGACTTTGGTGGAGTTTGAAATGTGGAGAATGGTACTCCACACCAAAGGTCAACCAGAGAAGCGAAACTCAAAGACTGAACTTCAGAAAGCGCCGAATGAAAGCACGCAGAGGTGTGCGACATGCGCTTGGCGTCATCGAGTATGCCTTGGACAAAGACCCCAGCACGAAGTTCTACTGGGAATGGCCCAAGTCAGCCTTTGCAGGCTGGCATCTCTTTGAAATCAGGGCATTCCTGGCAAGGTTGAGAACAAAAGGAATCAAGATCCACTGGACAGAGATCGATGGTTGTCACTTTGATACAAGCCCACCACACGGGGGGCCAAACCACAACGCCTGGTGGGTGATGAGCAATGATGCTGACTTTGATGCCAAATGTACTTTTCAGTGCGACAGAACCCATGAACATTGCACTGGAGAAACAGCTGGCATGGAAACACGCGCTGTCAGAGCGACAGGTTTCTACCCACCAGCCATGTGCCTTGCAATTGCGAAGGTATGGAACTCTCAATGGCAGCAAGCCCTGAGAAAGATGAAGGAAAGTGACATCATCGAGAGCATGCACATCCTTGAGTCTGAGGCCGTGTTTGCGGGCCAAACTCCCCACCAAGACGACATCAGTAAGGAGAAAAAGGAGAAGGCAGAAGCTTTATTACATCGCCTGCACAAGGCAGCCGGACATCCAACAAATGCTGCTCTGGCCAGAATGCTTCGCGACAGGAACTCCCCGAAGTGGATGGTGGACATGGCGAAGGAACTGAAGTGCCAAGCATGCATAGACATCCAGCGAGGCGAGCAGCTCATCGTCCCGTATTCTCTTGGTGCCAAGCCGGCGCCGTGGCAGATCGTGGCCGCAGACACTTTTGAGCTGACGTTCCCACTGCTTCGAAAGAAGGTCCGTTTCCTCTTGATGTCATGCGTGACAATGCGCTTTGTGTCAGTCATCCAACTCTGGGAAGGTCCAGTCGGGGAGGCTGGCACGGACTCTGGAAAAAGACTTGCAGAAGCACTTGTTGAAGGTTGGCTACTTCACCGACCAAAACCACAATGGGTGATTGTTGACCCTCAGACGAGCCTGGCTACTGGCGATTTTGTCAGTTTCCTTCAAGGAGCAGGAATCGGTGTGTCAGTGACTCCTGGAGAAGCACATTGGCAGAACGGGCTGATTGAATCCCTCATTCGGGTGATCAAAACAACCATGCGCAAAATCCGTGGGGAGCAGCCCCTGCTTGATCCTCGAGCCGTGGCGCAACTTGCGGTCCATTCGCACAACCAACACTCCCGTGTCAAGGGGTACAGTCCCATGCAGTGGGCATACGGCACTGATTTCAAACAAGACTCTTTGGAGGTTGAGCCAGAGGAGTACAACGCAGCCACCCACAGAATTCCCAGAAAATTTTGGGACATACAGAAGAACCGTGAACTTGCAGAAAGGCATTGGAGAGAAGCACAAGCGCAAGAAGCCATGACGCGACTGCGCAACGCATCTCCCAGACCTGTTCGAGAGTTTCAAGTCGGTGAATGGGTATGCGTTTGGCGTACCTCAATCTGGCGGACCAGAAAAGGATCAGTGAATCCGGAGCCTCGATATGTAGGTCCAGGTCGTGTGGTCTTCACAGAGCCGGCAATCCTTCAAGAGAACAAAGGGCAAGTGATTTGGGTCCTGATGGGCACACAAGTCTGGCGATGCGCACCAGAGCAACTGCGCCGGGCATCGCCGCAGGAGATCACATTGGAGGAGGTCACCAATGGCAGAAGATATTCCGCACCAATCACCGAGCTCGTGAAGCAGAGCACCAAAGTGATTGATGTCTTGAAGGAGCCAGGTTTTCCTTTCCAAGAAGAACATCTGCCGGAGCATCCTCTACCAGGACCTCAGCCTGGCCCATCAGAACAAGATGGAAGAAGCCAACTGCCAGATGAATGGATGAAAGATGTCACAGACCGCAAAGACCGATGGACAAAGAGGCAGCTTCAAAAGGGAATGCAAGATGAAAAGCAGGAAACGGTGCAAGAGCGCACCCTTCGCTGGCGCCAATTGGTCAGTCTGAATGAGAACAGGAGACGAGAAGGTTTGCCGCCAGTCACCAGTCTTCCACCTCTTGCACCAGACATCAAAGAACAAGCTCAGACCCAGTTCTTTGCGCTGGCCGGTGAGGCTGACGCACCCATCACCATGGAAACCTATAGCGCAGTGGTCGAGAAGATCACACAACTGGAAAGAGAGCTGAAGTTCCTTGACGAGAGACAGCAACTGTTGGAAGCCATAGAAGCAGAAAGTAGAGAGGAGAACAAGTTGAAGAACCTCTTTCTGAAGGCATGTGATAACAGAGAGGAGGTATGCGAGATCTTTTTTGAGATAGAAGATTGGCGAGAATTCTGCCGCGGTGGAGCTGTTTACACAAAGCAAGCAATAGCCAGCACTAAGGAAGTCAATTTCAAGAACCTCTCACCACAGCACAAGAAATTGATGGAGGAAGCAATGGCCCGCGAATTGAATGAGGTCATCAGATCACAAGCCTTAAGAGCCTTGAAGGAGAGGGTTCCAGAAGAAGTTCTGACACAAAGATGTATCCCGATGAGATGGATACTCACTTGGAAACCGTTAGATGAGTTTCAAGACCCCGAAAGAGAGCCGCAGCCAGGAATTATCCGTGAAGACGGATTTGCCAAGGCAAAAGCCAGGATAGTTTTAATCGGGTACAAGCATCCCGATTTAGCAAAAAGAGACCCAAGAACTGGAAAGCCACTCCTGCAAACCTCTTCACCTACTCTGAGTCGCTTGGGGCGAAATCTCCTACTCCAGTCAGCAGCACTAGATGGACATATTCTTGAATGCGCCGATGCTAAGAGTGCGTTTCTCCAGACAGATGAAGGCATAGGCACTAAAGATTTGTTCACTAGAGGAGTAGAAGAAGTCAGAATTGCACTTGGCCTCAGTAAAGGGGAAGCAATGCAAGTAGTAGGAGCAGTTTATGGACTCACCAATGCACCTAGAATCTTCTGGCGAGACGCAGATAGCAAGCTACAAGCGTTGGGTTTCACACCGCATGCAATTGACAAGTGCGTTTGGCTTTACAAAAACAGCGAAGGTCAAGTCATTGGCCGAATTGGGGCTCATGTTGATGATTTCCTCATCATGGGCGACCACACCAGTACCGAGTGGTTGAATGTGAGAGCCAAAATCTTTGACATGTACCAGTGGTCTCCGTGGAAGCGGGGTTCATTTACTTTTGCAGGTGTCCAATTGCATCAGCTTCAAGATTACACCATCGTGATGTCACAAGAGCAGTTTTGCAACCAACTACAGCCTGTAAAGATCGAAAATGAACGTTCCCGAGCTAAGGATGATGCTCTCACTCCAAAGGAGCTTAGCCAGACTCGTGGCTTGGTTATGCAAGCACAGTGGCGTGCCATCCAGACTGCACCTCAGTATTGCTGTAGAATAGGTCTAGCATCCTCTTCACTCACCAAACCTACACTGTCGAACCTGAGAGAAGCAAATGCGATAGTCAAGGAGCTGAAGAAGAGTAGCACAGATAGCCTTATTTTTCATTCTTTTGTTGGAGAAGATAGAAACTGGAAAAACATGGTTTTCTTGCACTTTGGCGATGCAGCCCAACGCAATCGCCCAGATGGCAGTGATACTGGTGGATATATAACAGCAATCTCAACCTCTCGCATCCTGGAAGGACGCGAGTCTCGCACGAGCATCGTTGACTACCGATCCTTCAAGCTGGACCGACCTTCGCGTGGTTCTAATGGAGCTGAAGGGCAAGCGATTTTTGAATGCGAGGACAAGGGATGGAAAGCACGTTTGTTTTGGAGTATTTTGTATGGTGAAGTTTTGAATAGGACCAACTCTGAACATTTAGCGTCTTTGGTTGAATCTCTTCTTATTATGGATAGCCGTGGTTGTTTTGATGCCTTGTCAAATTCAGACTCACCTCTTCTCGGAATGAGCAACGCCAAAACCGGCGTAGAGATGATGAGTGTGCAGCGCGGTGTCAGAGATGGAAGCAATTGTTATCTCACCTGGGTCCCGAGTGATGTTAACTTGTCTGATTGTATGACTAAAGTGACACCGGAAGCTTTCAAGACATACATGCTTTGGCAACAGCGAAAGACTTGGTCAATCCGTTTTGATGATGAATTTGTCTCAGCTAGGAAGCAGCAGAAACTTAGGCGGACTAAATCGGAACAAGACCAAGTAAAGAATGCTCCTTTTGACCCATGGCCAGACGAATATATGGATTTTTGCGATGGTCACAATAGTTGGCCAGCTCGCGAATGAAAGCATTTGTGAGTATGGTGTCCATGTCGCTGTGAGGTCATTTGAGCACAACATGCTTTCAACCAGGTTCCTAAGGAACGCACAAATTCGAGAAGTGTAACACTTCAGGCGCGACCGTTTGCAGCTTGGGCCCTAGCTTGTGCCGAAAATAGACGGGTATAGATTTGTGAATTCCCCATGGTCATCCTTTGTCAGTAGAATGTTGGATAATGTTGGATAATGTTGGATAATGCTGGATAATGTTGGATAATGTTGGGTAATGTTGGATAATGTTGGATAATGTTGGATAATGTTGGATAATGTTGGGTAATGTTGGATAATGTTGGATAATGTTGGATAATGTTGGATAATGTTGGATAATGTTGGGTAATGTTGGATAATGTTGGGTAATGTTGGATAATGTTGGGTAATGTTGGATAATGTTGGATAATGTTGGATAATGTTGGATAATGTTGGATAATGTTGGGTAATGTTGGATAATGTTGGATAATGTTGGATAATGTTGGATAATGTTGGGTAATGTTGGATAATGTTGGATAATGTTGGATAATGTTGGATAATGTTGGATAATGTTGGATAATGTTGGATAATGTTGGATAATGTTGGGTAATGTTGGATAATGTTGGATAATGTTGGATAATGTTGGATAATGTTGGATAATGTTGGATAATGTTGGATAATGTTGGGTAATGTTGGATAATGTTGGATAATGTTGGATAATGTTGGATAATGTTGGATAATGTTGGATAATGTTGGATAATGTTGGATAATGTTGGATAATGTTGGATAATGTTGGGTAATGTTGGATAATGTTGGATAATGTTGGATAATGTTGGATAATGTTGGATAATGTTGGGTAATGTTGGATAATGTTGGGTAATGTTGGGTAATGTTGGATAATGTTGGATAATGTTGGATAATGTTGGATAATGTTGGATAATGTTGGGTAATGTTGGGTAATGTTGGATAATGTTGGATAATGTTGGATAATGTTGGGTAATGTTGGGTAATGTTGGATAATGTTGGATAATGTTGGATAATGTTGGGTAATGTTGGGTAATGTTGGATAATGTTGGATAATGTTGGATAATGTTGGGTAATGTTGGGTAATGTTGGATAATGTTGGATAATGTTGGATAATGTTGGGTAATGTTGGGTAATGTTGGGTAATGTTGGATAATGTTGGGTAATGTTGGATAATGTTGGGTAATGTTGGGTAATGTTGGATAATGTTGGATAATGTTGGGTAATGTTGGGTAATGTTGGATAATGTTGGATAATGTTGGATAATGTTGGGTAATGTTGGGTAATGTTGGATAATGTTGGATAATGTTGGATAATGTTGGGTAATGTTGGGTAATGTTGGATAATGTTGGATAATGTTGGATAATGTTGGGTAATGTTGGGTAATGTTGGATAATGTTGGATAATGTTGGATAATGTTGGGTAATGTTGGGTAATGTTGGATAATGTTGGATAATGTTGGATAATGTTGGATAATGTTGGATAATGTTGGATAATGCTGGATAATGTTGGATAATGTTGGATAATGTTGGGTAATGTTGGGTAATGTTGGGTAATGTTGGATAATGTTGGATAATGTTGGATAATGTTGGATAATGTTGGGTAATGTTGGGTAATGTTGGATAATGTTGGATAATGTTGGATAATGTTGGATAATGTTGGATAATGTTGGATAATGTTGGATAATGTTGGATAATGTTGGATAATGTTGGATAATGTTGGATAATGTTGGATAATGTTGGATAATGTTGGGTAATGTTGGATAATGTTGGATAATGTTGGATAATGTTGGATAATGTTGGATAATGTTGGATAATGCTGGGTAATGTTGGATAATGTTGGATAATTGAATTGTCACTTTCATGAATCATGAAAAATTGATAATGTTGGATAATGTTGGATAATGTTGGATAATGTTGGATAATGTTGGATAATGCTGGGTAATGTTGGATAATGTTGGATAATTGAATTGTCACTTTCATGAATCATGAAAAATTGTTGTGACTTTCTCAGTTTTGATTTTCAGAGAAATTCAAAAAGCCCAGTCTGACAGATCTGACAGTTCTCCAACGGTCGTACTCACAGCCCGTAGCGGTAACATGCTGGGGTGCCTCACGTGGACATACCTGGCATCGGCAGCACTGCCAGCTCTTCAGAAAACATTTGAAGAACCAATGAGATGATGTAATGATAATAACCAATTGAACATCATAATTATAATTAAACAATATAATTCAACTCATTATAATTCAATCATTGTCAATAATTAATCATCAATATAAGTATACATCTTGTGCAATGAAGTAGTGTCTAAACACATGAAACACCATCAAAACACACATCACTTGTCAGGCAAAGCAGGCAAAGCTGTCAGGTTCACTGCCGTTCAATGCCCTTCTCGCGACGGACGACTTTGCAGCCCTGGCATCGAATCAGAACGTGCAGCTACAGCATGACCTGGAAAACATGGTCTGCCCGAGCCCTCTTTACCAGCCTAAGGAGTCCTGAAGATGTAGATCTAACGCACAGATAAATTGAAAAGATTGAAAAGTAACTACCCTCTGGTAATTTAACATAGCTATTGAAAATGGCCATTTATAGTGAGTTGTCCCATTAAAAATGGTGATTTTCCATAGTTATGTTAGTTTACCAGAGGGTAAAATATTTGAACTGTGAGCCCCAGTGAGCCTCTACCAGCCCAAACCACACCACTGGAGTCACTAGGCCCCATCTGGCGCCACCTCGCGCTTGTTTGTATAGAGTTTCACCACCTTGCCAGGTGAGATGCAAAAAAAAACAACATGTCACATTTTTGAGGCCTGTAAGAATCTGTAACAGCATGTAACAACTGTAGACATGGATATGTCATTATGTGTCTATGCACTTATATACAGTAGCATATATTGGAGTTGTCATGTATAGAACCAAATGGTTCCCCAGCATTTCCCAAAAGCGACATCACCTGCAAACGCGCATCAAGCACCAGCGCACCATCAGTCCTCTCATAACCAGAATTCTAGCAGGAATATTCTGCGACATGCATTTGCTCAACGCTTTCCTTTGCATTTTGCCACATAATCAAGTAAAACACACAAAAAGTGGTCAACTACTACCAACGCTACGCATTTGGCGTCCATTCCAATGAGGCTAGCCCTAACTCATCCATTCCAAACAGCAGGATTTTCCACGAAAATTTCCATGAAAACCATCCATTAACCAACCATTCCTATGTTGCTGATGTCGTCTCCTGCGCCGCGGCAGCTTGGCCAACTCGGCATCCGTGGTCACCAGGTGCGCACGGCACCTGAAAGCTATTGGGAGATCCAGAACGGATCCATTGGGATAGCAAAATGGAGGTTTTAATGGGAAAACCATAGGAAAACCATAGGAAAATGATGGAAAATGATGGAAAATGATGGAAAATGGAGGTGTACCCTCTGGTAAACTGCCACATAACGAACTGGAAAGATCCACCATTTTTAATATTTTTAATGGGAAAGATCCCACTATTTCGACTGGGCCATTTTCAATAGCGAACTGTTAGTTTACCAGAGGGTAACAGAAATGTAAGAGATATCAATTTTAATCGATGGATAATGATTCAGTTGGCAATTCAAACAATGATTTGATGGATGATGTTGAAAATGTCGGAAATGAATGAATGGAAATGATGGATGGATGATGATTCAATTGGTTATTCGGTTATTCACCTGGTAGTTCACCATCAACGGAAAACCGTTCAACATGTTTCAATGGTCGAAACAGGTCCAGCCTCTTACAGTGGAAGACGTTGAAACGATCGTCTTCCTTCTGACCTTTGTTGGTGTACACCGGAAGTCTCTTCGATGTCACCACCTTCGGCATGCCATTGACAATGCGCGCGGCATAGACGGGCGCCGTTACGCTGCTGTTTTGAGTGGAGATTTGCTGTTTTGGTGTTTCACGGCTTCTTGTTTGGTGTTGACTTGTCAGACTTTAACTCGTGCGGACCCGCAGGTTGTGTTTTCGTATTTTTTGATTTTAATTGATTTATGATTATAAAGTTAATTGATCATCATTAATTTTTCTATGGTTTTGCCATCTTCCATTGATTGCAATTGATGTTTGAATAAAAATCAAGGATTTTTCGATCTTGTTTCCTTTTGTCTGTCGATGTTCAATTGATGTTCAGTATTTTTGTTGTTTTAAATCAATTAAGTTTCATGAATATTCCTATGTTGTTTTGCTTTTCATTTTTTCGAATTCAGGTTTACTTGAATTCTCAATACTGGTTTCTGTCGTTGTTTTCAAATGGCAGAGTTACTTTTTTTCTGCCATTTCACCTGAACAAATGTCTGCCATGTCCCTTGCACCAAAAAGATGGAATGATGTCGAGACTTACTGCAAGGTACAACTTGAATCCCATGACTACTGATTATGTAGCTGCACTATCCAAAATGGCTTCCTGAAATGAAATCAATCCCAGTTGGCTGGTTCGAAAGACCATCAATGCACAAACCGCTTGTCGATGCCACCGTGCGCCAAACACTCCATTTGTTCCACGTTGCCATGTCTCACTGCCCTTTCTTCCTTGGCGCTACAACCCTTCTGAGAACAATATGGCCAAATCAATGAAGTTGTTAGAGGGATTGATGTCTGACCTGTGATTAATTTGGGGAATTTCGGAGGTTGTCAAACCCTCCACCAGTAGGTAAAGTCAGCACCAAAGGAGATGGGTTTGTTCTGCCTTATCCGGCAAAGAGCCCGGGAAACGCCGGGCCAATCAGCATTGTGGTCATGGCCAATCAAATATCCTCAAGCAACGGGGCTCGTTGCAAATCAGAGAGGCACTTCTATAACCAATTCATGGCCAACTAGAATGTTTAAGTGTATCAGTGGAGTTTCCTTTAGGTTCAGAGACCAGAACTGATGTAGTATGTGTAACTATGTGTAACTAATGTACTAGTTTTTGTTGGGGTTCATGTGCTTGTGCTTTGGCAAAAAGTTGAATGTTCGCGGCTGAATCTCAAGATCTATCAGGTGCATCGTTGGCTCGGGATTTTCTCGAGGGATTCTCTGCAGTTGAGGCTCCACCTGGCTTCACCTTTGGTTGCCATTTTAAGAGATCCTTGTGCACTTCGCGGAAGCGGTGAGCACCTCACCAAGATTGCCAAGATTCATCACCAAGGACTAGACATGGCTAGACCACAGGTTTGCCAATGCACCAAAATGGAACGAGTGGAATTCGCATGAATTCGCTGGGTATGAATTCTACAATTGATAAATATTGGTTCCATTGAGAGTATCGGTCTGGTCTCTCAGTCCTTTCCATGCCGGCAAGTTACCATCAATAAACAGCATATCCAACGATTGATTCGCAACTCCTCAGGGTCGCTGGGTCTGTTCTCGCACTCCATTGAAAAGGTTTAACTTTGATGCGAAATCTCGAAATATCCGAGTTGGATTTTACATGGGTATGGATCAATACCTATAGATACATTTTTAATCCCTTCCTCCTAATACTAAACCCCCCCCTAATACAAAACACGGCAGGTAGTTTTTAGTATTAGGGGGGTATTTATTATTAGGGAACCAAATCGAAGTCATGTTAATTAATTAATTAAATTTCCTTATATAACGCAATTAAAATATTGCCAAAAATGGCAGTTCGAAGCTTACCCCTAATACTAAATTAAAACCCTTAGTACTAAAAACTATTTTTTCCGATCTCAAAATCAATTAAATTTCCTTATATAACGCAATTAAAATATTGCCAAAAATGGCAGTTCGAAGCTTACCCCTAATACTAAATTAAAACCCTTAATACTAAAAACTATTTTTCCCGATCTCAAAATCAATTAAATTTCCTTATATAACGCAATTAAAATATTGCCAAAAATGGCAGTTCGAAGCTTACCCCTAATACTAAATTAAAAACCCTTAATACTAAAAACTATTTTTTCCGATCTCAAAATCAATTAAATTTCCTTATATAACGCAATTAAAATATTGCCAAAAATGGCAGTTCGAAGCTTACCCCTAATTGCTAGAGTAGCTAGGCAGCTTGGAGTGAGGGATTGGGACTAGGCCCCCCTAATACTAAACACCCCGGGGTGAACTAGTTTTTAGTATTAGGGGGGAGAACCCACAAATGGTAGGTTGATTTTTAAATTGTTTTTTAAAGGGGCTCAATTAAAAGTCAAATTGGCCAAACTGAAATTTTCGGAAATTGGAGATGGATGCCTGTTTTTAGTATTAGGGGGACGTTTAGTATTAGGAGGAAGGGATTAGTGGGATGAACATCCATTTACCAGCTATTTTGATGTTCACCAGGGGTACAAGGTTTTGACACACTGCCACATAGTTTTACGTATTTTTACAGAGCTGGAGTTTCTTCTGTCCTTTGGCTGCATTTTCGCTGAAATCGTCCACCAGTTTGCCACCAAATCGGTGAAAAATCTGCTCCGCCGACCCTTGGGCGCGCTTCACCCAGCGGGGTAGGGGAGTCGCTGCGTCTGCCTAAGCGCCCCGCACTGCTGAAACCGTCCGAACACTGCACATGCCGGGTCGTCACTGTGTCGTCTCTGTGTCGTCTCTGTGTCGTCTCTGTGTCGTCTCTGTGTCGTCACTGTGTCGTCACTGTCATCACAACCGCAGTGTTCTCCTATGTTCTCATGTTTTCTGATGTTTTCTGTGGCCAAGTCACAACTTTCCCATAGAAGAGATAGTTATCTACACCCAAATACTGCAAGTTCGCATCCTAAGTCCACTGAGGGCTGGTGTGGGCAAAATCAAACACTCGGAACAAGGTGCCTCCACGGCTACCGAACCTGTACTGACCAGCCGAGCGAGAACAAGGAACTAGCACTGTTGGAATCATTAAGCATGAAGTCTCAAAAATCTGTCATCGACGCCCGCCATAGATCACAATTTGATTCAATTTTGAGTTCAGTATAAGATTCAGTCGTAGTTGAGTGAAAGTACCCTCGCCTTCAAACTTTTAGTGCGAGCAACTGAATTCATTGTATAAAAGGAGGAAGAGCCCCAACCTTGGCAAACAGTCCACGGCGCGTGGTGGTCTTCACGGTGTTGTGGCAGCACGTCTCCATAGGGATCTTTTTAAGCATTCCACCAGGTGAAAGAGCGACACAAGAGCGGCATATAAAGGTATCACAGTATCACTTACCACCCTACTCCTTTGAACAGTGCTGCGCAAACGTCCACAATTCAAAGTAAAGGCCTTTTAAACTGTCAGTGTCAATGAAGCACCAAAAAATTGTAACATATCTAACCCCCACTAAACCAAACTAACCATAACTAACCATAACTAACCATAACTAACCTTTTCACTTTGTGCCAAATAAACCCACTCCAACTTCGGCCACATGTAGTGTCTCAGTGGGGTGCTCTGCACGCAGCTCCGCCAGCAACATCTTCAGCACGCTGCTCCGATGACAACAGACGCTGTCATTGAAGGTCACCGGGAAAGGTGCCTGAATCAAGCCATTCCTGATGTGATACATATGTGAAACGAGCGTAAAACGTGAAACAAAAAGAAAAATCAGCTCTGCAAAAAAAAAACATCAACTGTTGCAACCCCTATCCTTAACTAATTCTGAATACTGGGGTGATCATTGATCAGCAAATCAACTCAGGAAATCAATAGAAATCATGAAATTTGACGCTTTCTCCTCTGAGGCAGCTTTGCTGAGCTGATCATCAAATGCTCCAAGTTGTGCAGAAAGATGGCGAACAGCTGATTTCTCTGTGCCACCTGGACCAACTGGAATCACGTTGAAGTGCACTCTGCCCAAAAATGCCTAAATGCATCCGCAAAATAAAAAAACTGACCCAAAATAAATCTTGACCTTTGCTATCGGGCAGAAAGCCAAAGACATCATAATCATACATAATCATACAACATACAACATACATCATACATCATCATACATCATTACATTCATTCCAGTATGGGCTTCCAGTGTGGGCTTCTGCTGTAGTCTTCCGACCCCGCCTTGAGGAAGTCCCCAGTCTCAGTTGCAGCGCGGACCTTTTGAGCATGGTCCGGGACGTTTGCCAGAGCTCTGATATACGATAGCGGCCTTTCAAACGGCCACATCTCCTCAAGTGCGAGCGATGTTCAGAGACTTTGCCACATGCTCTTCACATCTCACAATATTTTGTGTGTTTCAAACGAGTGATCAAACTCATATGACTCATATGAGTCTAAATTCTACGGATCTCAAATGTCTAAAGCGGTGGGCTGACATGGAAACCCGAGCCCTGAGCCTTGTAATCATTCGCACCACGTACCATTCGCCGTGCCAGGATGGTTGCAGATTGAAGAACGGACAAGCCCCGACGAATCGATGTGCCATGGAACAAGGCCAAGGCAATCTCCTGGTGAAGCCACGGTGAAGCACTGAAACAAAATAAACAAATTCAGAAACAAAGTTTTTGAGCATGATTCTGAATGCGCCAAACTTGGAGCGATCCAAAATTTACAGCTGAACCCGAGCTTGACCCCACCAAGGCTTTGCAAAAGAGGCAATGCTTGGCAGATCTTGGCAGGAGAAAGGTGCCTACCGATCTTAAGCTGCACTTGTCAGCCATCGACCACCGACTAAAAGTGTTCACGGTTCGCCTACCCGGTCCACCTGTCCTTCGTGGCCCAAAGCAACCTCACGAAGGGTGAGGTTCCACCAGGTAAGGTCATCTACTCTGAGCAATTCCCAGTCTAAATCTCGTCATTCCAGGACCACGGACAAGAACGAAATAGTGGTGCATCGGTAGTTTCTTCACAAAGCAAAAAAGCATGCTAATTTAAGAATCGACAACATCAGAGACAATCCCGCGTTTCCCACAACTCTAATGCCTGTAGCCTTCAACATTGTTCCACTGCGGGACTGGGGTGCCACAACATATCTTCCAGACCCAGTTCCAAACGTCAGCTGTTAAGCACAGCTAAGCACAGCTAAGCACAGCCAAGTCACATGGCAATGGGCTGAATCATCCGAAGTCTACTAAGAATCAATAGTGTCCTAGGCTGAAATGCTGAAATTTCGTCCCAGAACAAGGCTTTCCCGAGCTGCCCACGCTGCCAGGCCATCGCAAAATAGCGATCTTGCATCACACGAACCACAAAAAGATACCGGTGATGTCCAAACCAACTTGGGCTGATCTTGCACGCAGATTTCAGGAATCACAAAACTCAAAAAGCCGAAGCAGAAAATGTTGCTGAAGAAATGCTGGCAGACTGAGGTCCTGAACCAACCGGAAAAAGATCACCTCGCAGCATGACATGCCATGATATGCCATGCCTCCAAATTTTCAGAAACAAAAATCAAAAGAAGGCAGGGATTCAGATGGATTTTTTGTATCGGGACATCTGAACGAAAATTCGGGTGGCAAAGGTTCACAAAAAACATCATCGGTTCACCGCTGCCCAGGCACATGTAGCTAAAACGCGCGTGTGATCCGATGGGTCAGCCTGAAGAACACTCCACCTTGGCTCAACGGCTCAACGGCTCAACGGCTCAACGGCTCAAGCCCACACTATCTGCAAAATTCTGCCAATATGATCAAATATGAAGATAAAACTGAACCAGTGGCAGCATGATGCAGCATGTGCAAGTTCAAGTGATATAATGATATATATATATGTAAATTGCACTCCATGCATTGCACTTGGGATCATGTTTTTCCTGTTTCCTGTCAGGTCCGACGACCTCATTTTATCCAGGTCTGATGACCTCATTTCATTTTGGTCTTCTGACCGTATTTTGCCTCTCAAGAAAGGGAGGGACTTCTAACGCCCCATAGGCTACGCACCTTGGAAAAGTGCCTCGTTTGCACTGCCTTGCTTCGCTGTGAACTTCGAGTGTCTCAGCTCAACTGGCTGCCCAGTTTATACTGGTCAGCGGAACTTTGTTTCAATCCCCACTGCGCACTCCACTTCAACTTGAACATTTCACTGAACCACCACTACCATTGCCAGATCTTCCTGCTCTATTCAACGTTCTTGACTTCCGAGATTAAGCTGTTCTTTTGCACTGTGCTCTCTGACGAGCTCTTTGACCTTGACGAGCTCTTTGAATCTTGCACTGTGCTCCTTGGCGAGATCTTTGTCCTTGCTGAGCCCTTCACTGGTTTTGACCTGCACTGGCAGTATCTCTTCGAGCTTGTGCCATCTGCGCCTTGCCTCTTGAACTATGTCGAGCTCAGGTTCAACCACGCTGGACTCCAACTTCACGAAGGACTCCTTCATTCCGATGTTTGATGGATCTCCCAGCTCTTACCAGGAGTGGAGAAAACGTATCCACATCTACCACCTGAAGATGAAGTTGCAGAAGAGAGCTGTGGAGTCCGTGCTCAACATCATCGGATCTTTGCAGGGCACAGCTTGGAAGCTTGTTGAAAGCTTTGATGTGACCAAGATCGATGAGGCTTCATCCTTTGACGCTGTGATTGCATTGCTGGACGGTGCATTTCAGTATGACAATCGAGTCCGTATGCCTCAGGACTTTGACAATTACTTCAACCTGACCCGCAAACCTGGAACCTCGCTCCTCTCCTACTGCACGGAGCACGATGAGAAGTATAAGTATGAAGTATCGCAAAGTCGCTGAGCATGGAGTCAAACTTCCTGATCAGATTCAAGGCTGGCTACTGCTGAGAAGAGCCAACCTTACAAAGGAACAATACCAATTGGTGTTGTCTCAGGCTCCGAAGCTTGAGAAACTTCGTGTCCAAGAAGCCTTGTTCATCATCCTCGGGCAAGATCATCGATCTGCTGTGAACCGAGATGATCGACGACCTGGTGCTGGCCGCTTCTTCAGAAACAAGGCCTTTGCAGCCCAGGATGATGAGACCTACGATGACACAGATGCCTATGATGATGGCTACTACGAGTACGATGATGGCTATGCAGCTACTGAGTACGAGGCTTTTGATGAAAGGTGGACCGAAGACTACTTTGACTCCAATGCTGCATACTATGAAGGTGAGGGGAACTACAACGCTGACGATGCAGAGACCCTTGCCGAGTTTGACGTTGACACCTATGATGAAGCATATGCTGCATACCTTGATGCAAGACGTCGCTTTCAGGACATCAAACTGTCCAGAGGTTTCTTTCCTGTGGTTGCCTTAGACCAAAGCTCTATGGCCAATGCACCTTCAAGCGGATCACCTTCTCCGACCAGAGGGAAGGGCAAGGGTGGGAAACCAAAGGGCAAGAAAGGGAAAGGCAAGGGTAGCAATGTGGTGCGCTATCCACCTCGTGGTGCTGGCAAAAACCCTGACCCAAAAGGCAGAGCCTCTGCCGTGTTGCATTGCTTGCGCTGTCTGCCGTGTTGCATTGCTTGCGCTGTGGATCTGCAGGACACCAAGCAGCTCAATGTCCACGACCAGCTAAGCATGCCACGACTTCCTCCACTGCATCCAGCCCAAAGAAGCAGCAGACTGAAGGCATGGCTGCTCAGATGATGCCTGGAGAAACTGGCTTGGTGCTTTTTGAAGACAATGCTGGCCGACCTCGAGTTGACTGCACTATGCTGGATCCTGGCGCCAGTGCCTTTCTGATGGGTTCAGGACCCTTTGAGCGCTACATTGCCCACTTGAAAGACCTTGGCTTCCCCACTGAGACCATTGAGATGCGACGCACTTCCAGAACTTTTCATTTCGGTGGTGACCATTCCACCACGAGCCATTGGGTTGCCAGAGTTCCAATCTTTGTCAACAACAACTTTGGATTTTGCCAGGCCTTCATCATCAAGGGTGAGACACCAATGCTGATGGGAAGACCCATCATCGAAGCCCTTGGCATCATCATCGACTTCAAGACCCAAAGAATGATGTTTGAAGGCTGCCCCTGGCGACCAATAACACTTGGCAGACATGGTGAATACCTCCTTTCTCTGACGGAGGACTTTGAAACTGAACTTGCAGACCAGGTCCCCTACTTTGACCTCAAGCTCAACGAACCGACAATGGACCCACCAATGGGAGATGCTGTGGACCTGACCGTCTACGAGAAGGAAGAAGGTGCCATGACTGCAGGCGAGCACTCTGCTCCACCTGAACCTGGCTCTCGAGCCGTCTTGAACAAGCACTGGAAGATGTTTGAGAATGCCATGACCTCTGAGGAAAATCGAGTCAATGCTTGCATCACCAAGGAACTCCATCAAAGCCAACCTCGACCACGAATCGTTTGGGAAGTCTATGCAGGTGCGTCTCGCACTTCACAACTGGCTGAAGCTCTTGGCTGTGATGTTCAGGTCTTTGGATATGACACCGGCTGGGACTTTGACATTGCCAGTCACAGAACTGCTTTTCTACAACTCATGGATGAAGTGCTTCCCGACGAAGTGTTCCTGGCTCCTCGATGTGGACTCTGGAGTCGTATGCAAGCGATCAATGCCACCACTGATGAGAAGAAGGAATTGCTGACCCAACAACGACAGCTCCATCATGACTGCCATCTTCGGTTTTGCCGCAAGATCTACCTGAAGCAGCTGAATGAGGGCCGACATGCCCACCTTGAACAACCAGATGGCGCCTTGTCTTGGCACACCAAGGCTCTGGCGACCTTGCCTGGCCTCTATGCCATCTTTGACCAATGCCGATACGGCGCATGCTGCCTTGACCATGATGGTGTTTGGCGCCCTGTTCGCAAAACCACTGGACTTCTGACAACCAAGTCTGCAATGTCACAAGCCATGAACCTTCGATGTGAAGGAGATCACTACCACTGCAAGCTGGAGGGAACCTTCCCTGGCACCGGGCGCTCAAGAACCAGCTATATGGAGGACTACCAGCCTGCGCTCTCAGCTGTCCTTGCGTCAGCCCTTGCAGTTCCTGAAGTTCCTCATTGCTGGGAAGATGTGAACGCTGTGGATGAAGTCAAAGCTGTCCAAGGCAAATTGATTCAACTGATGACAGAAAACCATGGTGAAGCTGTGCGGACTGTGCAGCGTCTTCACCGTAACCTTGGACATCCTTCACCGACTTCACTGGTTGAGATGCTTGAATCCAGAGGTGCTTCTGAAGCTGTTCTTGCTGTTGCCAGAACATTCCAGTGCCACTCTTGCCTTAGATATCGAAAACCCAACCAAGTGGCACCTGCATCCTCGAAGGTGATTTGCAAGTTCAACCAAAGTGTTCAAGCCGATGTTTTTTGGCTGAAAACCGGTGACAACAAGATTCCAATTCTTTCCATGGTTGATGAGGGCACCAAGTTTCAAGCTGCCCAAGTTGTGAACAGCGAGAAAGCCGAGGACTACATCTTGGCCCTTGAGCGATGTTGGATCTCTCACTTTGGTCCCATGACCAGACTGGTCACAGATGAAGGTCGTGGATGGCTTGGCCGTGAATTCGAGGCCTGGACTGATGAGCATTCAGTTCATCATGTTGTTGCTGCTGGAGAGGCACATGAACAACTGTCCTTAGTTGAAAGAAGGCACTCAGTTTTGAGGAAAGCACTGGAGATCTACTTGGTAGACTTTGGAATGACTGGTGCCAATGCTGTGCGACAAGCCCTGAGCTACGTGGTGCCTCAGCTCAACAACTCACCATCCACTTCTGGCTTTTCACCTGCTCAATGGGTACTTGGCCAATCTCCTGATTTTCCTGGCGAGCTTCTTGGATCTTCTTTGACCCCAGTACACCTTGGAGGTACCTTTGAAGACGAGCTCTCCAGGCGAGCCACTGCAAAGATGGCCATTGTCCAAGCAGATGTGGACCAAAAGCTTCGACGCGCACTGCTGCGCAAATACGCTGGCAACAACATTGCACTCAACCCTGAACAGAAGTGTTTCTTCTGGCGAGACAGCCGCAATGCTGACTTGGTGAAAATCCGATGGAAAGGGCCTGCCACCATCCTCATGAGAGAAGAAGATGATGATGGTCGAGCGAAAGTTTACTGGCTGGCCTACAAATCTCAACTTCTTCGAGCTGCTCCTCGCCATGTTCGACCTGAGATTGGCAAGTCTTCTGAGCCTCTGGCTGACAACTTCCAGACTGCCAAGGACGTGGTGCAGCAACTCAGATCTCGAGGTGTCACTCGCTACTTGGATCTCAACGTCCTCAACAAGAGACGCTTGGAAGATGTGGGCACTGATGAAGAGGTTCTTGATGACGGCAATTCAGATCTTGAACAACCTGCTCACCGCCGTCGTTTGCTTGACTCCACCCTGATCGAAAGACCTCCAATTGCTGACGAGGAGTACTCACCCTCCATCCTCCAAGAAGATGAGGACCTTGACACCCCTGATCTTGGACTTTCAGATCAACAAGGTCTGCCTCCTGGATTTGAGGCTTCATCTGCTCCACTTGGACTTTCGGAGCCGGCACAACCTGGATTTGTTGATGCCGATGGAACTGCTCTCCAAGTTCCAATCCCTGAGCTGTCAGCAGACATTCCGATCAGCAGTGGAGAACCTTCTCAAGAACCAAGTCCCACACACATGGACACTGAGATTTCCAACCAACGCCCTATGACACCGAGCAATTTGCCCAGACCAGCGATTGAACAAGATCTACTACACCAACCACCTTCTCTACTGACAACTTCTTCAATCCAGCAGAGTCAGATTCCAACTCCACAACCTACAACATCACAATCAACTCTACCAGAAACACATCAACCTTCCTTGCCACCACCTGCGCAAGTTCCACAACTTGATCCAATCACTGCATCACTCTATCAACCTGCAACAGATGAAGACTTCAGAAGTCATCGACGTCGCCTTGCGCAACAAGAAACAATGTCTTTTGGACCATTTCGTCGACGACGTGAACAGCAACAACCAACAGGTGAGCATGGTTCCACACCATATGCTGAACCACCATCCAATGAGTCTGCCAACAACTTGGAAGACAGCCCTTTTGCCTTTGAGATTGAAGGCATGGAGATCAATGCCTTACCACCTGGATGGAAGCTCGAGAATGGCTACATCACTTTGGATGACAAGACCCGTGACCACTGGGAACTTCGAGCTGGATGTCTCATTCGACATCATGCCATTCCACGACGAGCTCTTTTTGATCCTCGATCTCTTTCTGCCCGCGACTTGCAACACTTGCCGGTGCCTTTGGATTGCCTAGATCCTGTGAGAGTCACGGTATGCAAGTCGGACGATGGCATCAACCACTACTCCGACAAGATTTCAGATGGGCATGGCGAGCTGTCCAACAAGCCTTGGACTGGATGCACAGTCTTCCAACTCAACGGCAAGACTCGACATGAACTTGGATGCCACGCTTACTCAGCCATGACTGCCAAGCAAGTTGGCAAGAAGGCCAAAGTTCATGCTCAACGACAAGTTCGCAAAGCTCAGCCGAAGAATGAGATCAGCGAGAAAAAGCTGACTTTGGAAGACCGTTTGCTGTTCCACCAGGCCAAAGTCAAAGAACTCAAGTCGTTTTTCGACAATGGAGTGTGGTCTTTTCAAACCACCAAAGAAGCGATTCCAAGCCGCACTATGTCCAGCAGAATGCTCCTTAAATGGTCAAAGAATGCAGATGGTACACCTCGTGCCAAAGCCCGATTGGTTGTCAGAGGTTACACTGATGCCGATGCTCTTGAGGGCAAGCTGGACACTGCATCACCTGCGAGCACTCGCCTTGGAAGATCTGTGCTCCTCAGCATCTCTGCATGCTGTGGCTGGTGCGGTTGGAGCGCTGATGTTTCAACAGCCTTTCTTCAAGGCCTACCACAAGAACGCCAACTTTGGGTTCGTTTACCAGCTGATGCCAACCGGATACTTGGGGGTGACGAAAACACCCGGATGTACCTACACAAACCGGTCTATGGCCAACTTGATGCACCCAAGCGCTGGTTTCTTGAAGCCACCAGGCGACTTCGCAATGGTGGATGGATTGCACATCCCATGGACCCTTGCTTTTGGCGACTCTATGAACCAGCAGTTGAAGGCTCTGAACCCGTTTTATGTGGCCTCCTGGTGCTCCATGTTGATGATATGCTGGGATGTGGAAACCCCAACTCTGAGACTTACCAGAAGGCCGAAGCAGAGCTCAAGCAGTCTTTCAACTTCAGAACTTGGCAGAAGGATGAGCCCTTCGAATACTGCGGTGCCCATATGACACGTGATGATGATGGCACCTGGCATGTGAGCCATGACCAATACCTGAAAAAGATCATGCCTTTGAACTTTGAGAAGGGACGTCAGAGCCACCAACCTTTCAGCGAGAAAGAGCAAACTGCTCTTCGTGGTCTTCTTGGAAGTTTGCAGTGGCCTGCGGTACAATCGTCACCACATATACAGGCGAGCACCTCCTTGCTGAGTGGTGAGATGAGCACTGGACTTTCTTCAGCCTTGATCGAGGCCAACAAGCTTCTTCGTTTTTGTAAGGCCAACAGTGATGTCCACCTGAAGTTTCCTCCGTTGGGTCCACTTCCTGAACTTCGTTTGACATGCATGTTTGATGCTGCCCTTGGAGTTCGACACGACGGATCGAGTCAGGGTGGGTACATCATAATGTTGACCCACAAATCGGCTTTTGAAGGCGCTGAAGTGCCTTACCACGTGCTGGACTGGCGATGTTTTAGACTGCCACGGGTGTGCCGCTCAAGCCTCTCTGCAGAAGTTCAATCAGCTGCACAGGCCATCGACAGCACAGAATTTGTGATTCGTTTTTGGCACATGGTCTTGAATCCGAATGCAAATCTTCGACAGACCTTGGATGTATCGAAACCAACCTTGAGCCCCACATTCATCACTGATGCCAAAGCCCTGTATGATAGCTACCACAGAGACGCTATAAACCATGGGGCTACAGACAAAAGAACCAATTTGGAACTTCGTGTCATCCGAGAACAAGTCGAAGGAGTTGGTGGAGTTTTGAAATGGATTTCTTCAGAACGCCAGTTTGGCGATGGATTCACAAAAATGGCTGCACGGCAATTATTGGCCGACCGTTTGCGACATGGTTCCATCAAGTTCACTTGGGACCCTGAGTACCAAGCTAGCAAGAAAAAGACAGCTGCAGAACGTGAGAAAAGCAGGAATGAATTCACCACAACAACCACAAAAACCACACACAACCACCACAAACCACATACAACCGAGCAGGAAGATGCACATGATGATGAGGCTCCAGCTACCAATGATGATGTGAACATGACTGTGGAGCCCTATGTGACTGATCCCAACCTAACTTTTGAGAATGCCCAGCTCTCTGCAGATGTCGACGTGACACTGAATGTCCAGACCCCGGAAGATGTGCGCTTCATGGAAGAGATCTATGACATTGAAACCAATGCAGCCCATGGCGAGCCCTTTGTTTTACCGAATAACCAGGTCCCTGTAGAGGCCTACTCCTTGAGCCATGGCGGCGCTGGTGCTATGCTGAAGTATGTCTTCATGGCCACTGCGTTTTGCACTGCTGAATCCGTTAAACTGGAGGTCCAAGACCAATGCAGTGCCGATGATGCGCCACTGACTGCGACAGCACAATCAATTTGGGTTTCAATGCTGATAGTTTTTCTGGCCTTTCTTCTGGGTCTTTTGTTTCACTACGTGGTCTCCAAACAGTTGAAGGAGGAAGTGAGATCTCTTAGAGATGCCAACGCCCAACTGCTTCGAGGCCAAACCAACATGGAGCTTACCAACCGCCAGTTGAATACAGAGAACCGGCGATTGAGAAGCACCTTGATTGACCGTGAGTTGGTCATTGACAACAACCAAGAGTTGAGAGAACAAGAACGACAAGATGATCGAAACACCGTACGACGAGCCAGCGGCATCCTTGATCGTGCCATGACAGAAACTTGGAACTTGAACCAGTTCCACCTACACTTTGCCACGACTGGTAGATGCTGGCATGCTGACACAAATTGCGCGGGCCTACAGAATGCCAACCGCGTTGAAACGCGTGAAGCCTGCACTTTTTGTTTGAGCCGTTGCCTTCCACCTTGGATCCCTGACCAGACTTTTGGCACTACTTTGAAAGAAGAGATCGAACGTTTCTGGCAAGACCATGGAAGGGTGAACTATGTGGATTCGATCATCCACTGAGAGCCGGACATAGCTTTCCCCTGTGTAAATTGCACTCCATGCATTTCACTTGGGATCATTTTTTTCCTGTTTCCTGTCAGGTCCGACGACCTCATTTTATCCAGGTCTGATGACCTCATTTCATTTTGGTCTTCTGACCGTATTTTGCCTCTCAAGAAAGGGAGGGACTTCTAACGCCCCATAGGCTACGCACCTTGGAAAAGTGCCTCGTTTGCACTGCCTTGCTTCGCTGTGAACTTCGAGTGTCTCAGCTCAACTGGCTGCCCAGTTTATAATATATATACTTTGGGGGCACCAGATGCATTGAAGTCAAGCTGAAAAAAACGGGAAAAGATGCACAAACGGGGTATGTCGAATCACAGGTGTTTTTCAATTAGGTTACCAGGTAGTGGCACCTTGCAGCGATGCAATGCGATGCAGCCGCAGCACGATGGGTGCTCCCAACCAAGTCCAAATAACTCGTTGAAAACTCTCTGCAGCAGTTCTGGCTTCAAGTCATCAGGCAATGTTTGTCGTATCGATGCCCACAAGCGCCCAAAGTCATTCTTTTGATCTGGGTCCTGGGCAAGAATGAACACCAAAGAGAATGATTTCTCAGGTTTGCTGACTTGGACCCAGAGTTCCATAAATTTCAACATTTCGATTGAATTTTCAATGAAAGGACTGAGCCATTTCCCTTGCCCCAAAGCATCCCGAAGCTAACGCCGATTCTCTAGCCAGGCTCGGGAAGGCGCATGGTGCCAGCACTCGCATCATTCGAGTGGTTTCGGTTCCAGGCCAAAAGCTTAACATCTGCCTGTGCGCTATGCGCTATGCAGATATGGGATATGGCACAATCAAAGGCCTCAAAGGCCCAAATGATCCAAATGGTCATTATTTGTATTGACAAATTTGACAATCCATGACCCATTTTTGGAGGTCCATCATTTTGACAGCGACGCGACCTTGTAGCCTTTGGGCTGGCAGCATGCCATCCAATCCATGCCGCGTTGAACGCAATCTGGATGACCTCTCACACCATCCGGTAGCGAACCACTGGAGCCTCAGCGGCTTAGCGGCTTAGCGATCGGTCGGAAGGTGGTTATATGTGGCTATGGTTCTGGTTGGTTATGGTCCAGTTATGGTTGACATTGACTTCTTACCCGACTTTGTACACTGAGACCAGGGAACAGCAAACCTTCAATTGTCGCTGATGTGGACATCGGAGCGCTTCAAGTACCAGAATCTGCGCCAACCAGATCCAAGAGCCGCATGGCTGAAAGAGCTGCATACTAAACTCGAAGCTAATGACACTGAAACCTGCGACTCCATGAGAACATTGAAAGATTTCGGCGAATTTGCCCTTTGCAACCGCATTGCAACCGCCTTTCGGCTTTCCGTCCTAAACGGTCCTAGATCTTGCTACACTGTCGCATGTGGCATCAAGGTCTGCAGGCTGAGGCTTTCAGGTTTCTGTGGCCTGGGCAAAGCTACCCAGCTACCCCAGTTGACGTCACGTCTCACGTGGACTCAGTCCGACGGACACTGAGAATGAGAAGCTGAGGAGCCACGAGACTCTACGAGTGATGTCAGATAACGAAACAAAGGTGAACGAACACTGAGATACTGACTGAAGTCTGGTCACAAAGAAAATCAAAGAAAGGCAAAAATCAATAAATGCTGCACTTCAACATTTTGCCGCTGATTGCACAGCACTTTGTGTTTGATCTCTGACACTCTTCGACCAAAGCCCACAACGTCACAGCCTCCACCTTCACCTACGTCAAGTTGCAATATGCTGACGAACTTCGATCGGAATTTCTTTGCAAAGTCCATGCTGTGATCCTCTTGACATCTCTTGACATCTCTTGACATCTCTTGACATCTCTTGACATACGTATATATGGGATATGACTCGATATGACTCGATATGACACTCTTCGAATGTCCGTGGAGGTCTCCTGTCTCAGCAATCCCCTTCACAATCTTTGCAAATAGTTTGATGTCTTTTGGTGATCCACTGGGCGCTCCAAGGACAGTGCACAGGATAGGTGGCCTAAATTGCTCCAGTGCGTGTAGTCATTTCATGTCATTTCCCACTAGTCGTTGCACGCGATTGCATTGAGGCAGAGCAGGAGATATTGTGGAGAAACAAGCTTCAACATGTCCTGGCAGCAAAATCTCGACCTTTCCTCAACCCTTCCAAATTGAGGAGTCCCTGTCTTCCACCAAGCTCATGATAAGAGCTCGCCAAAAGTTTGTTGACGCCACCAAGAGCTTGGTGTAATGACTGGCCATGCGGCGGCTGACTTCCAATAAGTCATCCAGGGATAGATCTGATAGCATCTGCAGCAAATGCGAAGCACTCTCATACCGCAGAAGGTGTGGCAGCAAGGCCCAATCTGTGAGTTGCACCCAGAAAGCTGCACCAGGTGTAACTAGCTCAGCACGATTCTCCATAAATGGTGAGTAGGGCAAATCACCAAAGGGCGGTCCTTCTTGATCTTCTTGAAGCTTGTGAACTTTCGGACCTTTCGGACGAGGATGCCAAGGCTCTTCCCAAAGGATTTCTTCCGTCTCCTTCTTCAGGGCCCTTTGGATCCACTGCCAGTCCTTCGGATCCTTCGAATCGTCGGGATCTCCAAAGACTCCAAAGTCGCGCCCCGGTCGAGTGGCATTGAGCCCACCAGATTTGGCATCCGCTTTTGCCCATCGCATCGCCGTCCGCCAAAGTCCACCCGAGAAGATACAAATTGGAATCGACATGGCATAGAATTCTGTGAGTTTCATCGGGCTTGTGTCATATGCAGACAACACGCTGGCACGAAAACGGCCAAGCTCTGCTTTGGAGCAATCCTGCCCACAGGGCATGTCCTCCCAGGCTACGAATCGAAACGGAAGACCCGGAAGACCCGGAAGTGCTGCTGTCTTGGCCATCTTGGCTTCCTCAAGAAACTTGCGGAGAAGTTCGATGTCGTACGGAGTGCGAAATTTGCTCACGACCACCTCATTAGGCCTCACATGAGGGGAATACCTCGCCCCAAGTGACACATCAGGGGTCACAGGTTGAAAGTATGGCACGCGCAAACCCAAGAGCCAATGGACCTGAAAGCTGTGATATGCTGACATCGCCACCAAGAGATTTTGTTTCTGCTGGAAAAACAACAAAAATTCGGCTGTCCAGTGCTCCTGCAAATCCTCTGGGACTGAGAATTGATGTGTCATGTCCCAAATCCCAAGGACGGGTGCGTTGAAGTCCATGACCAAACGACACCAGTACAGTGGATGGCCACAGGCGAACAAATCCACATCTCTCAATTCGTGGAACAACTGCTTGAAACGTGGAATCACCTTGTCATCGAACTCCTGGTGAAGCTCTCTTAAGCCGCACCACTGTCCACGTTCTCCACAATCCATCTGCGACGCCTGAGTCGAAATCCTCTGTTCTTCCAAGACTTCTTTGAAGCGCATGTCTTTGGAACAAAGCCAATTTTTATAACGTGCATATTCACAATGATCAGCCAGGGCATTGTGTGAAACCTCTACCTCATAGCGATCATTCATCCAATTCTCCAGAATTGTGGCAAAGTCTACAAAAGGTCCAGGATTTTTGGAAGTCCACCAAACCTTCAGCCGGTGCCTGGAAAACGCCTTCAGGTCCTTCAGCTGTCCTTTTAGCGTTTCAGGACAGGGCCAGCAGCGAGGAGCGTAAGGTGGCCACATCAATGGTAGGCCTTGTCGAATGGTGTGACCGGTGTCAGCGTCGGGTTTCAGGTGCATCCCTTGAAACGGCCAACCACGGCGAAGGAAAAAGAGGTTGGAAAGGATGTCAAAAGACGTAAATGGCCAGGAGGTATGCTCAAAGAGGTCATGGTCATCCATCCTCAACATTGAAATGGCGCTCATAAGGTAGTATTCCGCTTGAACTACATCGCCTTGACTGCTTGCCACCCAGGCCAGAAGGTAAAAAGCTGTCACATGCCCTAAGATGCAGTAATGTTTGAAGGGCCATGGATCAGGATCATCACGATCAGCCCAAAAATGTGAGAGTTCTTCAGCATTGGCTCGATGCGTCGTGATGAGTTCTCTGGAGAGTTCCTCCAATTCCACCGAGGGCACCGCTTCTGTATCTTCACGCCATAGGTTTAGCATCTCAATGGACTGTTGCCGCAGCAAAGACCAGGCGTTCAGTGCCACACTGCTGCATTCCAAATCCGGATGCCACAGATGCCACATGTTTTCTACCTGTAAATCACACGCCGCGGAAACACCACGTCCGGGGCCAACAAGAACCAGAACAACCAGAACGGCACCTGCACATCTGGAATTGCCATGGCACTTCACTTAAGAACAAAACCGACACCAAACCGTGGTGCTCTGTTTGATCCTGTTCACATTGGCTTAATAAAAATTAAAAATAGAATTGTGATCCATGATTGTCCAACTGTTTAAAAGTTTAAAATTTCTATATTAACAACAATTTTATCTAGTTGTGGGACATTGATTCAATTTTCCAACATGGGACCATCTATGACCATCTTGAATCCTCTGGGATGGTCACAAGATCCAGCGTGCATTCTTACAGCACGGGCAGGTTGTAGAGCAAAAAAAAATTGCAGCCAAATGCATCCTAAAGTGGCCCAAGTCAAGAACATGCAGCTGAGGTTGGTTGTTTACAATTTTGCACATTTCCGGTGGTTATCATTTAGTAGGCCAACTTTGGACATGTTGTGCACCAAAGATGCGTGCGAGGCTGACCCGGCAAAAAATTTGGTGGTCGGCAAAACATATCATGTTGGGTTTATTTCGTGTGCAAAGCGTTTCATGTTTCCTATCCATTCCGTGTCGCAAATTCAAAATCAACAACGCACATGCCGACCAACGACTTGTTGGAATGATCGAAAAATGAACATTCACTTTCGGATTCCATGATTTGGGGGCCATTGCACATTGGGTACCCAAAACTGGGATATTTTTTTCCGAACCAAAAAATGTGCTTGAAGGAGTTCTGATTTCCTTCATGTGTTTACACTTTGTTTGTTCCCAAAATTTCACGGCCCACACGTCTTTCAAGTCTAAGTTATTTGGTGTTCCATTCAATATTACTTGAATTTGTTGGATGGATTTGTTTGATTTGTTTCCCCTCGGGAAAAAAATGCTGGATCTGGCTGGAATATGCTGGAATCATCGAAAAATCCCAAATCCGATGCTGTTGGATGCCAAAAAACCCTTGCTGTTGGATGCCAAAAAACCGTCGTGATGCAATGAAACAAAATGACGTTCAAAATGTACTTGCTCCACATTTCCATGAAATTCAACCGGTTGAGTAAGCAAAGGTCTTTTACCCCAATGGCGCTCTTGATGGAAAAACAAGACCTTCAACAATTCATGTTCCATTTGTTATGAATTTGCGCGAATGTGTTCCAGGTACCTTGGGTGCTGTGAAATATGCATGCAAAAAAATGTCAAATCAAATGTAACGGTGTAAGTCATTTCGTATCAGGTGTTATTGTGCGCGTGGCCAGTGTCGCGATGCCAACTCTTACATTGGTGTGTTTGGATGTGTTTTGGCCAATATATATTCCACATGGAACATGATGTTTGTGGTTTTGCCGCGTGCAAGGCTACAGTTTTCATTTTTTGGCCGAAATTGTTTTCCATTTTTTTGGTTGGCAAAATCCAAAACGCACCGCTGCTATTTTGTGGTTGATTGGCAGCGCCTTTTGATCCTCGCGCAAAAAACGCCTACGGTGACATCCATAGATTCCACATGAGTTGGACATATAGCTGAAACTGCACTGACATGAATTGCATCACATGTCAAAGAGTTCTAATTGGCTGGACATGCATTTGTATTGCATACCAAGCGTAGGTTAAGGAGTGAAATATTCATCAGCCCGCCTCAGTCTAATCCTTATGGGTTTTGACTGAAGTTTCCATTCAAATTTCCAATCCAACAAGGCCATCGGCTAAGCCTTCACGGCAAAAGGGCTTTGGATTGTGTGTCCATCTCATTTTTCAAAAATTCTATACGTCCATCCAAGACTTTTCAAGTCTTGTCCAGACCGGTGTAGATCATCCCATGAGTTTCTCGGATCTGACCTTCGATCTGCGCCATCAAAATGGCATCATTGCGCAGTTGAGCTTCATCCCACTCACATTCCAATCGCTCCACTCTGCTGCGTAGCAAGGCGTTGGTCTCCAGCATCGTCTGCCACAACTCAGGGGATGGGTTGGAGCAGCGCAACATCGTGTCATTGGACAGGGAAAACTCTGATTTTTCTCTTTCGTTATGTTGGTCAGTCCAAGGCGGCCCATAGTGGACGTGTCTCCAGTATTCACCATCAGAAACTTCACACATCTCGCTGTCAAAGTATCGACGGCGTTTCTCTTGCAAGGTCTCAGGTTTAGTTTCATAAATTCCCCAACCCATTCTATATTCCAACTCATCAAGAATTTGATGCAACGTTTTGTTCATCTTTTGAGCAAAATTCTCGCCTTTTGCAACTCCCAATGCGAAGCGCAGATAGAAGCACACTGCAATGGCTCCACACAGCAGCATCAGCAAGATTGCGATCATCATAGTCTTGTAGCAAAAGATGTTGGACGAAGAGCTGGTGGAAGTAGATGCATCAGCTGAGACTCCATCCATAGAAACTGCCATAGCCATCTCTGAAGGACTCAAGGCGAGAAGGAGGATTCTGAGAAGTTGTTTTGCAGTGTTTTGGGGCGCTATATCCTTGTTCTTTTAGAAGTCGAATACTGGCCTTCATGTTGTCCTGTTCTTGAACTTTGTCATAGGCATTGATGCCAACAAACTCCGAAGTATCTATGTTGTAAATTTTGCACAAACACATGAGATACTCCATTCTGTCTTTTGCTAAGCGTTTGGTCCCCAGGTCTGCAGGGTTTTCTCGGCTAGGGACACGTGAAGGGATTAAACCTTTCTGTTTCACTCTTTGCTGCATCCACAAAACATGAACACTGATATGACGAATACGTCCCACTCCAGAACGTAACAGAAAGGATCTGCCTGCTGAGTTGTCCATTTTGATGAAGGTGACCACTTTGTCACTTCCTCCAACAATAAAACACAGGCAGTGTTCCAACAGTACGCAGCATGCACTGGTTGCTGCATAGATTTCAGCCTCTGCTGAAGAGAGTGCTATCGCCTTTTGTGAACGTGAACTTGAATACAGTAAGTTTCTAAATAGGAATATAAATCCAGAAGGAACCGATTTCCTGGTTGAGCGGTGTTTCGCCCAATCACTGTCAGAAAACACTTCCAATGCGTAGTCCTCAGGGGTATAGTGAAGGAGTCCATGGTGACCTTTGTAAGTCAAGAGAAGACAGTTCTGAGTGCATCCCAACAAATACATACACAAATGTCGCAAGCATGCAAAGGAGTTCCCTGTGGGCTTTGACATCGATAGCGACAACGCTCGTATGGTGTATTGACATTCCACGTAGTAACTGGAGATATACACAAGAATACCAATACAAGATCTATATATCTTTGCCTATTGGGCATCCAACTCTTTGGAGTTGTCGGGTTCATCCAACAGTGGGTGGCCAGGTGTCTTCTTTGGCATCAGGCTGCGTTTGATCTTCAAAAGCTCAAACAGTTTCCCTAGGTGTTTCGGGTGGCTCTGAATGGCCAGTTGGTTAGGGCTGACCATCACATGCTTTCTTTTTAAAAAGGTAAGCTCATCACCTTCTTTGCAAACTACATCCAACGATATCTTGTGCTTCGCACGCAAGGCTGGTACCAAGGTATTGTTCAGGTAGGTCTCTTTTACCAAGCAAAGCACATCGTCGACATGCAGCAGCAAGACACATTCTGAGTTGCCAGCTCGAAGTAGGCAGGGGTATGCATCACATGGGGTGATTTTCAACTCATCATGCAAGAAACTGCTGAAGGCATCGTGCCACACTTGTGACCCGTTTCGTTGGCCTGGAAGTACACGGCCAAGCACAAACTCAGTAGTGGCACCTGAGGCGTCAACGCATGTAACTTGTGTGAGTTCTTCTTGAGGGACCATTAAGAAAGCGTCACCAACATCTATTGAGCATAGCACATAGCCATTGTCCTTCCATTTCATGAACAACGTAGGAAGCAATCTTGTTGTGATCACAGAAGAAGCAAGTGAAAATAAATCTTGTCTATCAGGACTCAACCAAGCAAATTCACGTGCTACATATCTGGATCGTCGAAGCCATACTCTTTCTCCATCTGTATGTTTGTCTCTCCAAGCTCTCACCATTCTCGTTTTAATCTCTTGGGCGTTTGACCTTTGTAGTCATAGCCATCAGTAGGAAGCAAAACTCCCATCGTTCTCAACCTGGAGATTTAAAAATAAATCAGCCAGAGTGTCAATTCGAAGTAGTTCACTGTCACTAAGTTGAGGTTCTGCCGTGGAATAAGGAAAAGAAAGTTGTTTCAACAAAGTAGCATCACTGACATCATCACTTTTGGTTTCCATCTTCCAACGAAAACTCCAACTCTTCAACCTCACAACTCTCAAAAGCAGTAGGGTGTTCAGCATCCTCGTGCTCGAAGACAGCAAATATTCTGGGCTGTTTTGCAGGTCTCTCAGACTCTTCTGAAGCAGTCTCATGTGGGTGCACGACACCTGAAGATGTGTCCATGCCTCTCGAAGGTGCTTCCGAAGCACTGCCTGCAGCTTGTGAAGTTCCACCCAATGGGGTGGATGGTACTTGCAGTCCAACTCTACTTGGAAGGGGCCCCGCCTCAGCAGCTTCTCCCATTGTCTCATCCAGCACATCACCTTCCAAAGCTGGTGCGCTAGAAACTGGTGCAGGCAAAACTCTAGGTATATGTGGCGCCTCATCCGGAGTTGGCGGCACATTTCTAACTGCTTCTGCATCTTCATCCCTGAGAGGAGCTGAAATAAAAGGAGCTGGAGTTGGTGGGGCAATTCTCTTGGCCAGAACAAAATTGAGAGCCTAAAGAGGCATATTTTTTTCCGTCCAACGCCTTCATGGCTTCCGCCAGGTCGTTACACACGTTCGATCGTAGCAAAAGATGAATTGAAATTATCGTGCAAGGCTGTCAATTGTCGATAGCCACAAAAGTACTGGTAATGGACCTGTACGCAGTCCAGTATGCAATCCCAGCAAGAAAACCAAAAACACAAAACAAACCACACTAAGCAAAAACAAAACAACCAAAAGAACACCAAGAAGTGGGATCGCTACCAGCAATGGAGATTCATGCATATGACATCTTGTGTGTCATGATGATAATGGCCCTTAACAAGAAGCAAAACAGAGAACCACGACAAAAACACCAGGGGCCAAATCAGAGGGTGTAAGAAGCAACAAAGCTC